CAATGACTATATTTATATAATTACACGTGTTATTGTGAGTCAACCATAAAAGATATGCTGTTGCGGGATATTTTTTAGACAATTTTATGTAGAATATTTTCGCCATACATGTAACTTTAACCATTAAGGCTGCACACGCGACGGAAGCTTAAAAATGGAGTAACTTCTCCCGTTTTCTCAACATTTCCCTTCACTACTCTGCTGCTATTGGTTGTAGCGTAATGACAAGTATACTATAACCTGCCCAGGAGTATGAAGAATAATTGTACCAAGTTTGGTTAAAATCCGTCGAGTAGTTTTTGTTTCTATAAGGAACATACACACAGACAGACAGACAGACAGACAGACAAAAATTTTACTGATTGCATTTTTGGCATCAGTATCGATCACTAATCACCCCCTGATAGTTATTTTGAAAATATATTTCATGTACAGAATTGACTTCTCTACAGATTTATTATAAGTATAGATGGGGCATTTATTTAAATGATACAGTAAATTTTGAGAATTCCACAGGAGCCTAATTTGTTTCTGAAGAAGAATTTTGAGTCTTAATCCAGGTAATAAACTATGTGTGTGCCAATTTTGAACCAAAAGTGATTGTGTAAAAAGCATAGAAAACAAATACAACAAACTTTCGCAATTTATTATATAAGCAAGATTTAACTTTAGTTCTCGCTTAAACTAGTATTAATATATGGAGGCGCCTAAACCCCCATAACTTGGGTTGCGGGAAAATAATAATTTTGCGTGCTCAATACTTATATGGAGAGGCTAACCCTAGGCGTAGGTTAATAGTGGACTGTATCTGGGGGGCGGTAATACACAATCATATATTATTAAAAATACAAAATAAACTGCGCCTTGCAAATGCCTTATCTATTTAAGGACGAAGAAAATGGTTGAAGACTTGGAGACAAAGGAAAGGAACATGCGCACTTACCTCAGCACACCATCTGTTTGGTCGCAAGTCATCCTTCAAGCACTTATATCGAAAATAAATCGTTTGCCGGCACAGATTTTGTATTTATATAAATTGCACAATGTAAAATGTTCACTAATAGTATGATCGCACAGTAATTTTTGGATACTATATCACAACATGTGTGTCTTCCAATACAACGTTCACAAAAGAGAGGCGCAAAAAGTATAATGTCCTATGCACTCCGCGGTGTCGTCGAAAAGCAGGACGGCCATAACTAAAAGTGCACATGTATGAAAAGGATGGGAGACAGATTGGATTGAGGCAATTGCAAGTGCATAAACTCCCTATAATGAAATTATTAAAAGCCCGCAAAATACGAAATCCAACAATATCAAACATATTTTGTAAACCTTCCATGAAAAAATATCTGGAGGCGAAAACCACACAAGACAGAAAGAGGTTACAAACCCGATCATAAACTGTTTCTACGGGAACCGATGTCACCGGCTCGCTCCTACTATACTTCCACCTAATAGATAATAGCCAATCAAACGACGCGACATCAAACAATCGAACCAATCAGGGCTCACACTCGAGAGTACCGACGCAATCAGATCAAAGTTTTGGTAAAGTAATAAGCATTTGCTCACACATTACTGTGGCTCGCTTGCCCCGTCCACAAGTCCCTTCGAACCTTTTTTTATGTTCTGTAAAACCGCATCAAACTTCATCGCGAATCCTTCTGCACTCATTAGCACCCACAAACCGTACTAGGCCGCTCATGGCTAGGTATCTTAAAGGGCTCGTACACAAAAACATGACGTGCACGATGCGGCGTTTTGTTTTAATTTTTTCAAACGAACTCAGCATGTTTATTTTTCAAGACTTCAAAATGAGGTTGTTGCTTACTTGCCATGCTTTAAATAATAGACAGGTTATACACCAACATTATTGGCTTACTTCCTTTGGCTGTTGCCAAGGGAAGTTAAGCCGCCAATAGAGCGCACTAAAGTAGTCTCTTTCACTCTCATGCATAAAGCAGATAACATCTCGCTCTTTAACCACCACATGTCAATGGTGTCAGTTACTGTCAAAATAAGTAGTCACTAAATATTTTTATATTAATTTCTTTAAATCTGTATGAAATGACGCGTTTTTCTAATCTCACTCTAATGGTTCCCGTGTAATTTGTGTACTACCTAAAAACACTCATGGGGCTCATGGGGGTAGCCGCGGCGGGAAGCGTGCCCGACTGGCTGCAAGTCGGGCAATTACCTGACTTTCATATTGGCAAATAAGAAGCGTGTATGACGTATCTATAACTATAAAACATCATAGTAGGGAACTACATACCTCCAATCCGTTATTATCCTGGGTAGCCTTTTGTTCACACATGATTTCCGAACAAGATGCATGAGATTTCAACCCCACATCAGGGCACACGCAGATCTTACAGCCAATTTCAAATTCTTCACCAGAAAAGCAGAAATCTAAATCCTGTTTCGTCGCCAAGCCCTCTTGTATAGAGTTACCAGCCAACAAGCTTTCGGATAACCTAAATATTTTCTTCCAAGGTGTTTCTAAATCGGAACATTTGTGTTTCGTGCACACCCTATCCGCTTTGTTCCCGTTCGGGGGGCACACGCAAACGTTGCATTCGTTGCTGAAGAATTGACCAGGAGTGCAACTGTCAGATCTCAGAATAGTTTTCTCACAAATCTTCTTTGTGCATAACTCGACGTTTTTCACGCCGTCGCGGGGACAAAGGCACACATTACAATCGACCAAATAGTAAGCTAAGGGTTCGCAGACAAATTTTTCCTCATAAGCTTCTTGGATCTCAGAGCAAGTGTTCGTCGTGCAAGCTCTATCTTTTGTTTTTCCACTTTGTGGACAAATGCAGAAGTTACATTTCCATTTCGTCACGGATCCTGGTACGCAGGTGTCATTAAAATGTATGTGATTGATGGTGGGGCCTCGCAACGAGGTCTGTCCGTTTTGGATGATCCGTTTTGCATCGCAGTCATCGTTGGTACACCATTTTGGATCAATTCTGCCATTTTTTCCACAGTAACAAGTATTGCAATCGATTTCCACGAATGAGTTCGGTTCACAAGACGCGCTTATACTATTATTGAATGGTAAGATAGAAAGTGCAAGAGATAAATTAGGGTTTATTGGATAAGATTCCTCAACAATTGAAGTGCAGAGTTTAAAATTGGTGCTACCGTTCTCTGGACATAAACAATATCGACTGTGGTCTAAGTACATTGAATTCGGTTGGCAGTTTTCATTCTCTGAGATTCTTTGGATTTTATCTCTGTCTGGAAGTTCATTGTTATCTCGATTGTCTTTTAAAACTTTCTCAAGCACGCTGAGCTTGCTCTGATATGAGCACACGTTAGAGCAGTATGACTGATTTGTGATGCCACCTTTCAAACAAAAGCATTCTTGGCAAATGGGCACCATCTCACCTGGACTGCAAGTTATCATTGATATATCATATTTGAAATATTTAGTTTTCAGACAATCTGATTTTAGACAAGCGTTTTCGTTCAACAGTCCATTTGCGTCACAAGTGCAGTAAAAGCATTTTGGCCTTAGAAAAAAGTTGGGTTTGCATTTCTTACTTGTAACTTTTAAGCTTTCGAGAGGTTTTAATTTAGATCCTTCTTCACAAACAAGTTTAGTGCACAGCTTATCGTCGGCTAAGCCATTATTTGGACACAAGCATACATTGCAATCTTTCAGATAGAATGTTTTAGATATACATCTTCTAGTGACACCATCAGCTTGTTGCGGTCGTCGGCAGGTTTCAACACACTGATCCAGAATGAAGTATCCACCGTCGGAGCACAGGCAATGAAGACACGAGAACAAATACATCACCTTCGGTATGCATATATTTTTATTTACGTAAGTAAGAAAATCTGATGTAGACGGTGGTAGTTTCTGGCACGAATTATCTTTAGCACAATGTGCGTCAGCCGTTTTCCCTGAAGCTGAGCAAACACAAATGCTGCAGTTGACATAATAAGATTTGTAGGGTGTGCACCAAGTATCCTGTGGATTCTGACCTGAAATTTCTGGGTTAGACAGAATAAGATCGCTCTTTTGAAAAGTGTCTTCTGAGGATGTATCCGCGTAGCACGCTGCGTTGTTGCAAATCAGCTTCTCGTTTTCCTGGCAGATGCACTGGTTGCAACCTTGCCATATAATCTGACCAGGGGTGCAGGTGCGTCGGCTGATTGCACGGCAATTAGTCGTGTTCCACCAACCTTTGCTATCGCAGAAACACATTTGCCCATTCAGTACGAATTGTGAATTCGGAACGCACGTATCTATCGAACAAAAATTTAATAGTGAATTTTTAATAATAACCAGAGGTCTTGATGAAGAATCATAACTTACGTTTTGTGCCTGATCCCGCTGGAAGCAGCGATATTAAAGCTATGAATATCACAGGCGTCAACATGTCTTAACTACGATAAATAACTATTGTTCGTTCTAAATAATGTAATGAATTTTAAATTAAATGGCGTGAAACTTAATAAACTTGGGTATTCCAATTGCTGGTTTTTCATTTCAATTTGCTTGGGAGGCGATAAAGTTAATGGAATAGTTTTATGTGAAAGAACTTCAGAATCTTAATCAAAGTCGCATTAAAACAAAAAAATCCTAAGAGTTGGCCTTTAGATTATTACATATATCATAAAAACAAAAAGGAGCTCGATGGCGCAGGTGGTTAGCGCGTTCGGCTGCGATCGTTGAAGTCAAACAACTTTCGCATAGTCGGTCATTGGATGGGTGACCAAAAATCTTCTATTTTGAGTTCCTCCGTGCGGAAGGCACGTTAAGCCGTTGGTCCCGGCATCTGCAGTCGTTAGCACCCGCCAATCCGCACTGGGCCCGCGTGATGGGTCATGGCCCAATCTCCCTATTCCATCCATAGGGAAGACTCCAGCAGTGGGGACATTAATAGGCTGATGATGATGATGATAATGATGATGATCAAAAACAAATAGACAGGATCTCCTACATATATCTACCGGTGATATTTCATTGTTGAATTATATAAAAAATAAAACACAGATATTCATTCGACAGAGCAGTTTAATATCGAGATGCTTTTTTTGCTATACAGGGTGTTACAAAAATACAAATAAAGCCTGAAGGGCGTTGAAGTTCATCATATAAGGAGTCTTTTCTAATTTTCTTAAAATATTTGTGTAAAGTTCTAACTTTTTATAAAAGCAGTTATTTTTAATGATCCTCGAACTAGTGATGTGTCTTAAAATGATCGATATTTTTATTAATCATTATAAATAACTGTTTTTATAAAAAGTTAAAACTTCATGCAAATATTTTAAGAAAATTAGAGAAGACTCCTTATATGATGTACTTTAACGCCCTTCAAGCTTTATTTGTATTTTTGAAACACCCTGTATGTATATGCTGAACATTTACAGCATTAACTTCATATATAATAATCTAATTATCTACTAAAATCAGAGTCCATGACACGTCGCTTTATCTTCGGATACCTTTTAAATGAACTGTAAAATTATTATATATCTTTCATGTTGACGCTATAAATATTAATCAAAGTTGTTTTATCGTTTGGTTGAGATGGGAGGCTGGCAATGATTTTTCCATACAAACGTTTTCGATTGATTCCTCCTTGATTTGTAACATTAAAGAAAGGATTTTCATACATAAAATATAATTTCACTCATTATATGCTCCTATGACTTCCTTTATTTAATAACTTGATTTTCAAAGAAACTAGAAGCACTCAAAAATTCCAAAAATTTTTGTCTTAATAAAGACGTCTAGTGTGGAGGTTGAAAAAGCATTTACGAAAAAACAAAACATAGAGGCCTAGTACAACTACTTATTATTCTATGGGTAAAATTTCTTTTACACATATCGCACGTCAGAAACAATAGGGTATTAAGTCGGCAAAACCATTTTTTTATTTGCGTTTCGTAAACTACATTTTTTTCTCTATAAACTGGTAAGATAATTGTATTTTAATTCGAAATAGTTTTTGAATTATAGCAACACATGTCGTCAATATATAGGCAAAATTTATGATTGTGAGTATTGTAAACAGTATTATGTTAAGTTAATATCCTATTGCCCGTTCGGATTAATACAAGTTTGAAGTTTTATTTAAAATAATACCCTCTGGCCTGTTCGATTTTATTTAATATGTTATTTTCAGCGAAATTATTTTAAAATGATACTAGTTTTAATTTTAACGTGAGCCATTTGAACTGCTTATAGGGTATTTTCTTTACCCAGTCACATAAAAGTCCTTTTTAAAATAAAAACTACTATTGATACTAACTAAACTTACTCAACACAAAGAAAGTACTACTAGTAATGTACGTTTAAATCAAGGTATCATTTTAAACATTTGAACAAGTAGTTCCGATTCTATGATTTTTTAAAACTTCAAAACGCGATATCTCAAAACACTGTTTTTGAAGATAATAAATACCCTTTTGTTTGTGACGTGCGATATCTTATTTTCGAGGAGGAAATTGTCGAGAACCAAACCTCGACCTTTGCAATTTTTATACGCAATTTTCAGCGTTATCTACTGTTGTCCCTATCACATAGTATTGACCAATGCGCGACAGTTATAGTTTTTTCAAATACCTATTTCTCAAATGTCTCTCAACTCGCGTTCTCTCTTATCTAGCGTCAAACAAAATGTTGGTCTATAAATATGTACAAAAAAAATCTTATGGATAAAAATTGCTGTGGTAAATAAGTAATAACTAAAAAATGCGAAATGCAGTTTCAAAGTGCAGTTTTGCGTATTGTCAGTTAAATTCTTTATACATAATTCTAAATTTGCAAAAGCTGTTTTCAAAATTCAAATATCAATAAGTTGATTGTATTCCATAACATTTGAGATAATTTGGGTATTTGGCCTTAGAATTAACAATTGACATCTTTGGTTGACGTCATCGAAATAATAAATTGATTCATATTGTGATTTCATCTAATTGATATCCGTTGCAGATCAGAAATTTTCCATTGTTTTGTCGGATCGAGAATGATCTTTAATTGCGATGCACTAAAGTCCATTCTTCTCTAAATACAATCTATGTTTTTGGAGCTTTACAGCCTCTACGTAATTGAGACAAGACTTCTGCGTACATCTCAGTGATTTGTTCTCTTGACAATAACACATATTGCATTTGTCCCTGAAATAAATATTATTAAGAGAGTCGATAGATGTCTGCATCTACTTTCGGAATTAAAAAGATATCGCTGTCCAGCCAATCGTAGTTTAGAGGGGGAACATCACACTAATATTAAAAAGGCGAAAGTTTGTGTGTATGTTTGTTACTTCTTCACGTCCAAACGGCTAGAGCGATTTAAATAAAATTTGGTATGGAGTTAGCTAACACCCTGGATAAACGTATAGGATACGTTTTACTACGGGTAAATATCCCTAAATAAAAGGGTAACACCGCGGGGCACAGCTAGTGATAACTAAATACATATTGTAAAGATGTTGTCTTTTACTTTTTCGTTGTAGTATAAAAGTAAGCGATTTTCACGTGTTCTGTAAAGTGAGAGTTACTTCCCCAGAGCTCCAATTCGAGCGAAAAATCCACAATACCCTCATCATCAGCCTATTAATGTCCCCACTGCTGGGGCACAGGCCTTCCCTATGGATGGAATCCCTATTCCTATATTATTGGAGATTGGACCATGACCCACCACGCAGCCCCAGTGTGGATTGGTGGTTGCTAACGATTGCAGATGCAGCCGGGACCAACGGCTTAACGTGCCTTCCGAAGCACGGAGGAGCTCGAGATAGTAACACGTGTGCGGGTAAAGAATTCCACTTACGAATAGTACGACGAAGATATGAGTCACCAAATTTCTTTGTTCGTGTAGGAATAGTGGCCACAGTAATTCGGAGGCAACGTAGCGAGGTGATCAAAAATGAATAGCTTCAGCCCTTTCGTGCTTGTAAAGGCACGTTAAGCCGTTGTTCCTGGCTGTATTTATAGTAGTGAGCATCCACCAATCCGCACTGGGCCCGCATGGTGGATCATGGCCCAATCTTTCCCTATTCCATCCGTAGGGAAGACCAGTGGCCCGCATCATTGGCGATGAAGAGGCAACTAACAAACTCGAGTCTCTACAATTACGCCGCGATGTTGGCATCATTAAGAGCATTCTACCGACTATACCATGGCGAGTGTTCTGAGGAGTTGTTCTCCCTTATCCCTCCATCGCCTTTTCTTCAGAGGACCACGCGTGCTGGCCTACGATACTGCTAGCTTACTGTGGCCACTATTCCTAACCGAAACAAAGAAATTTGGCCGGCAAGGTAAGGATGGTTGGTGTGGCAGTTTATAACTCTTTAAACTGTGTCTTACGTTCTTTCTTCGTTTGGACTTTATCACCACTTAACATGTGCTTTTGACTTTCGTTTGGACTTTATCACCACTTAACATCAGGTGGGGTAGATTCATTTGCTTACCTGGCTATATAAAAAATGTGAGGACAGAATAAGGCTAGCAATGAAAAATCATCATCATCATCATCATCAGCCTATTAATGTCCCCACTGCTGGGGCACAGGCCTTCCCTATGGATGGAATAGGGAGATTGGGGCATGACCCACCACGCGGGCCCAGTGCGGATTGGTTGGTGCTAACGACTGCAAATGCAGCCGGGACCAACGGCTTAACGTGCCTTCCGAAGCACGGAGGAGCTCGAGATAGTAAATTTTTAGTGATAAGAATTTACTTGTAAACAGCTCCGGGGATACAAGTCTCTTTCTTCTCCAAGTGCAGTGCGACGCTTGGGTTATGCTTGTCCAGCTTCCCGTGTATTCTTCTACTCTCAATTATGCTTTCTGGTATGCAGTCGCTCACGGGCTTACATTCACTTTTAGCTTTAACGCAAGAACATTTGACACAAGTGCTTTTCTTTATATCATTATCATTTTTGCATGGCTTTCCTGTAAGTAACGTGAAATATTTTATATTGGAAAATAGTGGAAGAATTAAGTATCATATAATAATATAATATTAGAAAGTAGTAATTGGAACAGCGAACTTTCGCTATACAAGCGAAGACAAAGGGTTACCAAAGAACAAGAAGTTGATTTCAATTTCATAAGTAATGCAATTAAACCTATAAATATAAGGTCCATATAGGCACTCTTAATCATTAATTTTTGGGGGCGTAGAGAATATTGTTTTTTCAATTTGAAATTTACACCCGAAATGCATCTGAACATCATAATAAAAATCGACGTAAAGAAATTTTCAATGTTTTTGTAGATGTAAGGCACATCTATTTTCTAAAATAACAAACTAGACTAAAAACTAAATATTTCATCGTCTGCATCTCAAGATTTTATGTATATTTTGTCAACACCACTTTTTTATAACTTTAAAAACAAAAGCGAATTTAAGTAATTTAAAAAGAATTTTGTGCTTTACGAAAATTGAAATTCAAGTATCGATATAATATGTATGCCGAGACTGACAAAGCATCAATGCTGCGCATGAGACTGTTGAATATACTTCATATATCCCTAAAATCCACACTTAAACAACGCCACATTTGGGATTTAACTAAATCACAATCAGAATTTTATTTGTGAAACATGTGTTAACATGGTACATATCCACCATAAAATAAGGTATCATGCAAATAAAAAATGGATCACACTACACACACAAGTAAGCACTATTATTCTGATTTACTTCATACGCTTTACAATGTAACTATATAAGTAAGTATAGTAATTAAAAAAAAAACACGGTAGTCAAAACACGAAGAACTCTCACAAAGTACCAAAACAAAAACTGAAATATATTTCTCAAATGGAATAGCTGTTAGAACAGACTAGCAAACCAGTGAACCAAATGTTCACCAAAAAAAAAATGTATTTCATTAATTGAGAACTTCGGAGATTTTGTGTGGTTTCGTTTAAAATAGAAATCACGTGATTTCTCGATTGTGCTACGTTATTCACATCCGGTTTGTAGTCTTATCAGACTATTCTTAACTTATAACTTAAACATTCTCTATATCTATCTCTTACGGTTTGGCCGCTGAAACAGCACCACGGACGGACGGACGAACTTGTCTATTAGATAAGAGATTCTCTGAAAACTTTAACAATAGCATATCGTTATGCTTGAATGATCTAATTTAGGGATGGGAAAACTACGGCCCGCGAGCCATCTTCGGCCTCCAAAAGGTTGAATTCCAACCCGCGCTGGTCGCGGGTACAAAATGTATTCACTAAAAAGTTCCATTTTGTCACACATTCCAAAAATTACCAACACGTAGCCAAACCTGGTTACCTACATATTTACTTTGCAGCAAACTCATTTATCCTTTTTTTTGTTTCTGGAAAATGCCTTACGCATCCTTCAACCACCGGAGGAGCGAGGAGAAAGTGTGTGGGACTCCTCCCTCCTCATTTCAGCCAGCCTTTGGGCCGGATAAAATGAGCAGGGCCCTACCTATAGCCCTGAACAGGGCCACTAAAAACCAGACGATGCTCCTGCACCATTCACCAGGCACGCATTCTGGGGACCGAGGTCCCCCCAATGCGCGCCGGGAGAGATATAGAGAGATCTTCCTTAAATATAGCAAAGGCATAGTAATTAAAGTCATAGAAAGAAATAAAGATGATTAGTATAGGTATTAACCTATTTATTATACACTTGTAAATATTAGATTCAGGCAAGGATCCATAAGGGCAAATAATGTAAAATCGGACTAAGAAATGTGTAGAATAGAGAAATTGTAGTAAATAAGAAATAAAGATAGTAAGGAAACAAGTGTGTGTAAATGTAAGGAAATGTGAAATGTAAATAGAGAAAATAGAAATTACAAAAAATGTAATAGTTTAAACTTTTCATTATTTATTATTTTGTTTATTCTTTTTTTTTTTAAAAGAAAAAGAAAGCTGTGCAAGAGAAAAAGCACAACAAAACATGCAAAAGAGCAGGCATGACTAAAAACAAAATAATTGTAACAAACAAAAAACAAAAGAAAGAAAAAGACCTAACACAAATAGGGGATAAACGTTATAAAAAAAAAAATGCGCGCCGGGAGTGCAGGCGTGGTGGCACCCGATTTCTAACTGGCCACGAAAACTCATTTACCCTGCTGTAGCGCTGCAGGCTGCGCGATGTTTTGATTTCATTAGACGACAAGGAAAAAGTTTGTCCATTGAGGGTCTGGTTCCTAAGCTGCCTACCTGAGCTCTTTTTCGCCTGGATTCTATTCATGTCTTCGACACTGAGACACAGTGTCGTGTCGCAGACCAAGATGCGGTTATACAGGCACACGCAATAGTTGCAGTCCACGCGGAACGTCTTTCCTGGTTCGCAACGGGAGGCGAAGTTCGGTAGTTTGGTTAGTTTCTTGGCCTCATCTTCAGTCACTTCGGGTCGCACGTCTGATAGCTTCAACATTGATGAATTTTTTACTGGAAAGTTTCACAATATTTCAATAACCTGCTGGATTTATAAATGTCAAGAAAAATGTTTTCCAATAAAAAAATATATTTGAAAAGTATAAGTTTTTAAGTTAGGGTAAATAAGGATAATACATATATTCTGGAATAGAAGTACTCTTCGCTATGCGGGGTAATAACTGACGGAAATGCCACAGGTACCTGTCAATTCAGATACTTTTTCAACTTTGGAACATTTAAGAATAGAAAAATTATAGAATTAACTCAGAATTTATTAGAATAAGCTGCTGGGTTTACACACCCTTTGCTGTCCAGCTGGTTTTGATTTTAATGTTGCCGGTTCATTAATTAACCAACCAAATTTGTAATTTAATACGAATAGTTATTATCTATGAAAAAATAAATAAATAAATAAATAAATAAATAAAACTACTTACTACATAGTAAGTAGTTAAATTCTCTATTAGTTCTTTTACTTTTAACTGCACGTCGTTGCAATGCCCCAGGGTTTTTACTCAGAACTTATTACTTGGTATTGGCAGAATCAGTGTTTCATGAAGTAATAACATTTATAACTTTTGTACTCGGTTTAATATATATTTTTTTAAGTTGAAGGTATGGCCAACATGCATATGGCCCGCCTGGTGGTAAGCGGCCACGAAAGCCTATCAAATCTGGCCACTTATAACCAATATCACTCGCGACTTTGCCAATCCTAGGGTAATGGTCGGCCGGGAGGCTATTGGGTGAAGACCCTCAACGGGGCTCTCGCGGTTCCGCACTTGAAAGCGTAGAGAGTATTCGCAGGGTTTTATAGCGGATAGTATACCGTAAGTGCTCGTAAGCCGCGTGGACTGCTTAACGACTTCTTCGTTTCGCACCCGTGAGACTTGCTAGTTGTGAGGTCCGTGCGTTGGTGTGCCCCTTAAGGGCGCCAACGTCTGTAAATAGAGGTTTTGCCTGCGAGGCTGGGAAGCTGCTAGGTGCGGGGATGCGGAGAAATCCCACCAAGGGGATCCCGCGGCTCCGCATCATGCAGTAGTGACTTTGGTTGAGGTGTGAGGTCCGTTCGGCGGTGTGCCTCTTACAGGCGCCGTCGTCTGTAAAAAGATTTTCTACCTGCGTAAAAAAAAAAGGGTGGGCCAGGGTGCAATGAACCGAGTTAGCCGCTTAAAACCAGGCTTCTTTAACATAAAAAAATATATATTAAACCGAGCAAAAAATTTATAAATGCCAATCACAGAAATCGCTGATTCTGGAACCTTATTCACCAACAGAAACACAACTGCACCAAAAGGTAATGTTATTTTACTGTAGCCTTCTGTAAGGTGAAGGTTACTTCCAAAGACAGCCACTCCAATGCGAGCGGGGAATCCCGTATGCCCTACCTCACATACAATTAATACATACACACTGAAAGTTTTGATCTGCATCCTTTCTTGGCACACATGGGTACCTGTTCACTATTACATACGCATGTATCGCAACCGTCTTGGTACACTTTTCCCGGTGTGCATTTTTTATTTTTCGGCAATGTTGGTAGTTGCACAGATTTTCCGACATCTCCCGCATTGATGGCTTTCCTTGATTTTAGATTTCCTGCCAATTTTGTAATAGCTCTGTTCTTGAGGCAAGCCACTTTAGTACAGATGAGCTCGTTGTTAGAACCACATTCGCAAGTGTTGCATTCCAGTTTATACACCTTGCCTGGCACACAGCTCTGTCCGTCTTTTATTTCAGTAATATCGTCACTTGACACTGGAGTGTTAACTGAAATTATAGAAATGACATTAGTCAACGCTTTCAGTACTTTCCAAAAGTTTGCTTTCCAATCATCAATTGTATGTAATGTAATCAGAGAGTTGAGAAAATCTCTTTAAATGTTAACCGCAATACAAAGGTGCCAGTGATACACAAATGAAGCCTCCCCACGACAACGGCTAACTAGAGCTGAGGTCCGAGTCTCAGAGATGCCCTCTAGTTGAGCCGACCCCCTCAGGTTCAAGTGGTCTCCTCAAGTATACCTCAAGAGGCAATTGCCAATTCTCGCCTTGAGATCTCCTTAGGATCTCGCCGTCCCCAAACCCGGTGAGGCTGTAAAGGTCATCTGCGACCAACAGAATACACACTCAAAAAAAAACATATGAAACAGTCAATAGTATTTTTTAATTATATAAGTATAGTTGGTTTATACTGTTTAAATTTAATTTTTATATGAATAAACTAGGTGTTTATTATTTAAGTAAACATTCATAAATAGTTATTCAATTCCATAAGTTTTGCAAATTATTTTTGTGTTCATTGAGCTTTAGAAAAATCTGCCTTAATGAATTAGTAACTGAAATTCTTTGCCTTTCCTATAAGTTTTAGTAACCAACCATATTTCTATAGAAATATATTTTTTTATTTACAATAACAAAGAAATGGACGGCCAGTCAACGTTAACATTTTTAGACTATTTTTATTAGGTCTATCTCAAAATCGTAACTAGTTAGGAAAGTGAAGTTTTGGTATATGATAAATTTGTAAGTTCGTTGTAAGAAGCAATGTTGCCTTCGTTTAAAAAAACTGATTTAGATTTTAGAGCGAGGCTAGACTCGCGGTTGGCCAGTGTTTTAAATTCTTTATCCGCACTAGTATTCCCTCCTTCATACAAGCCGGAAACCTTTAAACAAGCATGTTGAAGCATTTGTGCAGGCCAGCAACGTGAGGATGGTTGTTGTGGCAGTTCATAACTGCTGGCCCCAGTCATCATCTTCGCATCTGGACTTTAGCACCACTTAACATCAACTTCAAGTGGGGTAGAGTCATTTGATTACCATAATATAAAAAAGAAAATCGAAATAAGAGATAAATATGTAAAATTATTTCTTTGATGAACCTTCCTGCAGATATCATTGTTTCACTCAATTCATTCATAAAAATAAAGAAAACTTTAATTTATCGTATTCATGAAAAATCAGCGGATTCCCTTATAGGATGTCTTCGGTTATAATCTTTCAAACAGAACATTGTTGTACAAATCGGCACTGCGTCCGAGGAACAAGTGCACGTGTTACAATCAAAACGATACTTCTGCCCTGGAGTACATTTGTCATCTTCACTTTTCAGAACTGGCAGGCTAAAAAATTTTGAATACGATTCTTTGAGTCTCATGATGGCTTTCGACGGATTGACGCAACCTCTTTCTGTGCACGCCAAAGTCTTCTTCTCAGTGCACACACACCTGTTGCAATCTATATTCAGTACTGTCTTTGGTATACATTTCTTGTCATAAATGTCCTGAATTCTGGACGAAGCATCGCCTACAGATATGATTGATTCCAAAGCAGTTTCACTTATTATCTGCTTCTTTCTATCGTCAACTTTTAAACAGAGGCGATCGGTGTAAACGTTTATGTTACTACAACTACACAACTCGTCTTTGGTCCTAAGAATATCGCCGAAGGAACAAGGTTTGACTTTGTGTCCTTTGGTGCAAGGTCTACTTGTGCAAGAGACTGCTTCTATCAGGCCTCTTTTACTGCATCTACAAATGTTGCAGCCTATCAGGTATAGAGAGTTGGACTTGCAAGTTCTGTCGATTTTGTTTAATGATACTGTGAATTTCTTTTCTTCGCGTATGTGGTTGAATATTTTGCGACACTCTTTCGCTTTCCAAAATCCTTTGTGTGTGCATGTGCAAATCAAATTATTTTCTCTGAACATTAAATTTGGTACACATTCCATCCTCTTGGTGCTGGTGTTGGAGTCATATTTGTCTGTAAATACAACATTGTTCGATATATTTTCTAATATTTTTTAAGAGCATAAAAGATTATAATTAAAATATTCTGAAAATGGTGGTTAGAGCATCTGCAAGCATTCATTCTGACTGTGCAACTCTCGACGTGATCGTATGTATCAACGACTCCATAAGTAAATAAATTGTAATTAAATAAGTTATTGATAATAATATTTATAGTTATGATTTTATTTATTTTTTAAGCATTTAACTGCTAGATGTTTAAATCTAAAGAAAAGTTTACTAGAAAAAATCCACGCGGACCAGGCAGCGGACGGGACAATATTTATTGTAAATACATACAAAATTAGTAAAGGTATTTGTACTAAAAACCAATTACCTCAACTGCTGTTACATACGCTGTTTGATTTTTTCTATTTCAAACTATCTACAGTCAAAATTATGTAGATGATTACAATTTTGATGATGTTTGTGTGATGAATACGAGCATTTGTATTCCAGCCATGGATGTTTAATGTGTTTTTACATATAAATATACCTATATATGTACAGTATATATATTCTATCCGTTACCCTAGTATCTCATAACACAAGCCTTACAGTGCTCACTTTGGGGCTAGGCTAATTGGTGTGAGTGTTGAAAATATTTATTTATATACATATTTATCTACGCTAAGTTTTAAATGATGATTAATTTCAAATTCTGTAACTTAGGACTCTGATTTTATTTCTCTGTCTAAGAACAAATGCATGCAGAGTATGGTATCGTCAAGATATTGTGGGAAAATAATTTAAGCTGAAGTTTTTTTATCTGTACCATTGTTGGGATTTGAAATAGGAAAAGCTCTGTCTGCTATAACACCTCCTTACCTAATATCACACTAATATTATAAAGGGGAAAGTTTGTGAGTATGTGAGTGTGTATGTTTGTTACTTCTTCACGTCTAAACGGCTGGAACGGTTTTAATAAAATTTGCTATGGAGTTAGCTTACACCCTAGATTAACACATAGGCTGCTTTTATCCCGAAAAAATGTTAGGTTCCAGAGGGATTTTCAAGAAACTAAGTTAACGCAGACGAAGTCGCGGGCGACCTCTAGTCATCCATAAAGAAAAAATGTTACACATTGATTTTACTCACGCGCATCCTGGGTGCAGCTTTGCTCCTTACACTGGTATACTCCTTCGACGTCGCACACGCACGCGTGGCAGGGTCCCCTTACCACAGTGGTGGGGACGCATTTCTTCTGAATCTTTACTGGCACCAACATTAAGGCCCGTATTATAGAAAGATTCTCAGTGATTGATCTAGTCTTGAGCATAGTTAGAAAGGGATGTGGCTATATATATAGCACATAGCGATATCCCTTTCTAACTGTACTCGAGTAAAGATCAACACTTAGTTGTCATTATACGGGCTTTAGTCTCTTACTATGTGCATTAATAACCTCAATAGTCTTTAATCAGCAGTCTCTTACTATGTGCATTAATTACCTCAATAGTATTTGTTTCTTAGGTTTTCACGCACATCACTCATTAAATAAAACTAGTTTTCACGGGTTAATGCACGAAACTTTATTTATTTATTGACGTTTCGCAGCCTTTTCAGGTCTGCATCGTCAGAATAATGATTTTTTATTTAAAATTGTCGAGCTACCTTCGAAAGACTTATATTGAGCGTTCGGTTATTTCATTGGAAGATTTTTAAAATTTTATTGTCTATGTATGAATTTATTATTTAATTTACTTAATAAAGTATTTTATTTAAAATTCTTGTTTGTAATTTTGAGTTTATTTATTTGACCCTAACTACCGGAAACTACCACCGGTTCCAAAATTGGGAGACCTTCCTGAGAAGAACCGGCGAAACAAACTCAAGAGAGGCTTTCTATCTCCTTTTTATGTTAAATTTGCAAACAAAAAGAACTAATAGTATCTGATGGTCTTGCAGTGTGTGCTCGGGGTTGGGATTTTATCTCCTATATAATAGGTTCCCAAGCTGGTGGTATATACCAACCATCTTCCCTATTGAAAGTTGGATATTTTTTAATCTCAATAGCCTCGCGCATCATTCGAGGAACGAACCGCCGCTCAGCTGCAAGGATCTGTGGTCTATCAAATCTAATGTAGTGGTTTGGTCCCCCTAATGCATGTTCTAATGCATGTCCCCCTAATCTGTAAAGTCTTTCGAAGGTAGCTCGACAATTTTAAGTAAAAAATCATTATTCTGACGATGCAGACTTGAAAAGGCTGCGAAACGTCAATAAATAAATAAAGTTTCGTGCATTAACCCGTGAAAACTAGTTTTATTTAACCTCAATAGTCTTAAATCAACAGTCTCTTACTATGTGCATTAATAACCTCAATAGTCTTAAATCAGCAGTCTCTTACTATGTGCATTAATAACCTCAATAGTCTTAAATCAGCAGTCTCTTACTATGTGCATTAATAACCTCAATAGTCTTAAATCAGCAGTCTCTTACTATGTGCATTAATAACCTCAATAGTCTTAAATCAGCAGTCTCTTACTATGTGCATTAATAACCTCAATAGTCTTAAATCAGCAGCCTCTTACTATGTGCATTAATAAGCTCAATAGTCTTAAATCAGCAGTCTCTTACTATGTGCATTAATAATCTCAATAGTCTTAAATCATCAGTCTCTTACTATGTGCATTAATTCCCTCAATAGTCTTAAATCAGCAGTCTCTTACTATGTGCATTAATAACCTCAATAGTCTTTAATCAGCAGTTACATAACTGTGTTACGCCTTTTTATTTTTGACCCCGGGGACAGTCAGACATCGGGGTTATATGGGACTCCTCTCCCACCACCCGCCCATCCAATCAGTCAACCCTGGCTGGGTCAGTGGCTGCTCGGGATGGGGGGGCCCTACCCACTAAAACTCCTGGATGTGTCCTCCTCGCCAGCGATAGTGGCTTGGGAACCTTATTGGGACTCAACCAGGCTGCCACCGGCTGCTGTATCACGCCTAAGATGCGATACCTTGGTATTTAAAAATGTTCAGTATTCATTGTTTTAAACTTTCATGGTCACTAACATTATAGCTATTAACGGGATTGTTACCATGTACCTTGCTTTCGTATGTGCAAAAACCGCAAAAATCAAAAAAGTGTCGTTCCACGATCTGATACTGTGAGTATTGTGTGTCGGGAACAGGTGCGAGTGAATAGTGAGAATGGGACCAATGGTAGGGTAATCGAGCGCAGTAAAAGACGACGTCAGAGGGTAGACCGATATATCTGCCAATAACATCTACCCTCAATTACTTCAGTTACTCCGTGATCATGACGCTTGCAACAGTACCGAAATATCGGAGACTCATAAAAAACAAGGTACATGGTAACAATCCCGTTAATAGCTATAATGTTCAGTAATCGTTTTGTTTTGTAAACTTAAATTGATAGCGTAACGTAATCAAACCGCTCTAAGGTACTTAGACCAATAATTTTATCGTTTCCAGTAATTATTGGGTTAACTATAAGAGCTGGGTAATCGTATCGTGGACGGCGAAAACGAGAATTAATTGAAATGTTTTTCGATCTCTTCAGTTGAGGCCTCATCCGATAAAAGTGCCAATTCTTCATGGTGTCGTGAGTTTTAAGGATTAAGTTAGGGTGCCTCAAACTACATATTGAAATGGCAACAATATTATACAAATAAAAGTAAACGAAATAATGAAAAAAGCAACCAAACCTTTACAAGTATGACATTTACTTAGTTATATTTTGCACATAACAGTCCTATGTTCCCAATTGTTAAAAATAAAAATAAATCATCCCTATTGTCTGTAGTATATTGTATGTGCGGTATACTTATGAAAGTACTTAATACAAATGTTATTTACAATAATAATATATACTAGAACAATGAACCTAAAACTAAAAACCTTAAAAAATATAATTTAATAACTAAAAAAATATTATTAAAAGGAGTCCCTTTAGGTAAGGTTCCGAAGATACTGGCAGCGTTCCCCCTTTGAATAGCTAGGCTAATTCTTTGTCCGAGGTAGGTGCCAGCTCTTCGGTCTCCAGTGATGTCGACTAACATTTGACATTAACATTTTGCACATTATATTTGCAAATAATTAAGTACCATGTTATAATACGATATTTCGTAGTAGGAGACAGTCTAACATGGTTACGCAAGACCGTGGTAAAAAAAATTAGGTAGAGAACCATAATGTCTGTAATTCTTGCATATTTACTTGTTTCCTATATGTCATCAAAAGAAATGTTCATAATATATATCTATATATTTGTTTATTAGATGTTCACGCATACCACTCATTAAATAAAACAAACCATAAACGGTTTGAATGCCGTTTTGCATCCTTTTCAGGCTGCGTCGTCAAAGTTAATAAAAATAAATAATTATTATTTATATTTAATTTATATAAAAAATTAATAAAAATTATTAAGCCGTTGAAGCTTTGTTTTAGTTAATATATAATAGTTTAAAGATTCACATCCAGTAATATGCCAAAATGGTAGTAGATAACAGTTCCCCAAATTTTTGAGAAATTAGTAAAATTCTACAAAAGCATAAAACAACTTACACGAGATGGCCACAGTGAACCCAAAGACAGCTAATGATATAGCTAAACATAAATGGGACATCTTCTCATTAACTAAACCACACAACAACTAATCAAAAATTCTAGCTTCGATAATTCTTGGAAATCAATCAAACCATTACAACTAGTTAAACTTAATCGAAACAATCGTGAAATAATTAAACGTTTTATCGATCATAAAAAACGGGTAAATTAAAACCAAAACCAATGAAAAAGAAAACACCAAATACCAAATTGAAATTCGTTTATTTTCATCTTAATTCTTTATACCTTCAAACTAATTACGTATGATTTAATACATAATGGTACGCAGAGGTACGAAGTAAGCACTTAAAACTAAACATTTCACTAATTTAATTGAGAAATTCACACCATCCTCACGCCACACGCCATACAATGCACCAGTCAATTCTACAGATAATAACGGATTATTTATTAACAATAAAAAGATAACTATTTAATTGCACTCTCATCTCAACCTTGTATATCGTTAAGAGATGTGCTTTTCTGTTTGAACATACGCTTTTATATTTAAAATACTCATCTTATAATTACTACAACTATTGTTCAAAAAGTTTGACACACAGGTCACGTGAAATCTTCTCTTACTAAATATTATAATAAAATAAATCCACAGTAGAAAAAAGTACTGAATAGATATACGTAATTTTGAATGATATTTATACATAATAGGTATAAAATGCATTGTTTATGAATTTATTTATAACGGCAATGATGATGAAAATGAAACTGTTAAACTGACGTCCTTCGTACTTAAGACACTTATTGCTAGGAAAATAGTATCGGTTAAATAAAAAGCAACCTTAGATAAAACAAGTTGTTTGGAAAACAAAAATAAACTGTTTCAATCCAAAGATTTAAGACATCAAACATTTCTTGCTGAAGAACTTATTCGTTTTTATGTGACGTGTAACTTTTTGTTGTGTTGTCGTTCAATTTGATTACAATAACTTTGTATCTAAACTATTCCAAAAGTGGAAAAGATGTTAAGTTCTTCATTGTCAATAATTTACAAAATATTCAACAGTTGCTTTTCTACTTAACAACACTTAATCTTTCGCTTTAAACTACAACTGAGTAAAATTAGTCACAAATACTTAAATAGAAAAATTACCACTAAATTATACACAAATTAAATCACGACACTTTCGACTGTTACAACATGACATTTACGCTGGCGTAAATATTGCTGCAAACAGTAAGAATTTACCACCTTGTAGAAAATTAAAGTCTGAAATTTGCTTAATTACTAAAGTGAATCTGTTACTCTACTCAACGAATACTATATAATGATCTACAATGTAATTACTTCAGCAACATAAGTATTCTATATCATGGAAATCTACAGTATCATTAAAGAGAAAGATATTGTTATATTCCATACAAAACAAAATTTAGAAGAACTGTAAAAGTAATAAATTTCATATCAAATCCAAATGAATCATCAATCAAAGTGTGGCATTTTTGTATTGAGTGATAATCTAAAGGTGGTCGTTTTGATTATTTAGATACCAGGAGCGATGAATTCGTCACAAAGGTGGAGTGTGCAGAAGTAACTCTTGCCGTCAGCGGAGCAGGTGCAGTCTTTGCAGTCCTTTTTGAACTGCTCGCCTGGGTCGCAGCGGAATCCAGGGTCCGCCTCTAAAATGGTGAAACAAATAATATGTATTCAGTTAAACTAAAACTATTACTTCATTATATGAGGGAGAAGACTGGAAATCAGCTGGAGACGAAGAAGTGAAGAGTAATAGCTCTTGATTGGAAACAATAACCGATGTCATGGAAAGAGAATTAATTACACTTCTATTTAAGGATTTAAAATTGTTTGATTATTCGATATTGTCGAACAAAGTTGATAATTTAGTACCTACCTAAAGAGTGCAAGGATACTCAAAGTGTATTTTGGTGATGAAAACACGGTAGTCAATATTTCACTCAGACATTGATGTTCTCAAAACCAACTATTGATAGTATTGAGAAACTGCCAATAAAAAAAAATAACCGACACCCAAAAGCGGAGGCGGTGCTCAATGCTTTGGAATCTTTTCTAAACAAAAAACGTAATAATATTTACGTTTATCATACATACCGGTAGTGTTAAACAGCTCGATAGCTCAAGTGGTTAGCGCGTTCGGCTGCGATCGTTGAAGTTAAACAACTTTCGCAGTGGTCAGTCATTGGGTGTATTACCTAAATTTTACTATTTTGAGCTCCTCCGTGCCTCTTTAGCCGCTGTTCCAGCCCCTGTAGCATGAGCACCACAATTTACATTATATCTTGTTTTTTATCGCGTCTAACTGTCAAACTCCATAGTAATTTGACAGTAGAGCGTGATAAAAACGCGTTATATATCTTATCGCGGTGCCCATGCTAGGGGCAGGCTGCATCTGGAGTCGTTAGCACCCACCAATACGCACTGGGTCCACGTGGTAGGTCAAGACCCAATCTCCCTATTCCATCCATAGGGAAGGCTTCTGCCCCAGCAGTGAGGATATTATTAGGCTGATGATGTGGATACATACCGGTACTGTGGACATCATTGTCCGTGGTCTGCTTAACTTCAGTCGTGCAGCGTTTGTTTGTGCACATGGCGTGGTGACCGTCTGTCGTACATCGGCACGTGTTGCATTCTTTCTCGAAAACGGAGCCTGGTGTGCACTCTGATGAGATTTTGTCCAAATCGCTTGCTCCTGAAATGAAAATTATGAAACCACGATGTAAGTGTAACTTTTAAAATCATCACAACTTCTCTTGGATTCTCAATATTAATTTCCTTGTGCGACACTGACATAATGTTCATAAAGACAAAATTAAAAAAGAAACAATATCCTTAGCAAAGCCTCCTTGCTAAGGATATTCAGAAGTTTCGATAAATTGATAAATTCGAAAATATATTGACGATTTATGACGTTTCAACGCTTTATTGATCTGGAGGTTTCGACCTTATTGCATGCGAAATAGCACTTTGACTCGACTGTACCTTTCTTTATTTTTCTTACATTTGCAACAAAATCATTACCTCTCTTACTCCTGCCCCCGCCGTTGTTGTTGTTGTTGAGGGCGTTGCAGTCAATCCGAGTACAAGAGAAATCCTGGCCTTCGTTGTCGCACAGACACTTGTTGCAGTCCAACCGGAACTCTTGGCCCGGTTGGCAAGCTTTAGGCGCTTCCTACTGAAGACACGTCGGGAGTCATATCAGCGATTTTATTATTGTATATGATTTTTCTATCAAAGTTCTTATTTGTATGGAAAGTGAGTGTGTTAAGAACAGAATCGACTGAGCGAAACTCACATGAAAATAAACTATCTAGAAAGAAACAAAAAACAACATCCAACTATTACTTCTTCTTTTTTAATAAAGCAATTTTCCTAATGGTCTGTCTTTAGATGGGTGATCGAACATTTATCATCTCCAGCTCTGTGCTTCGGAAATCACGTTAACCCGTTAGTCCCGCTTGCATCTGCAGTCGTTAGCACCTACCAATCCACACTGGGCTCGCGTTGTGGGTCATGGCCCAGTATCCTATTCCATCTATAGGGAAGGTCTGCGCCTCATCAGCGACGATATTAATAGGCTGGTGATGATAATGATATTGTTTTAATATAATATTACCTGAGGAGTAGCTCTCACGCGTCTGGCCAGCATAGTCATATTCTGAAAAGTAAATCGCTATCTCAAGTTTCATAATATATACGGTTGCTTATTTGCTGTAAATAATAAACAAGCATAGGTACAATTATTTAAGTTTATTACTGTCGTTTTTTTTAAAAAAGCACCATCACCGAAAACATCCCAAAGCTGGAATAGGAATTTAGATTAGGAATATAGAATTTGTAGTAATAACAATCAGAAAAGGTAATGAGTATATCATCTTCAAATTCGCACCTTGGCATCTTCTTGTTCGATACAAGCTCGTCTTGTACAAGAAAACGACTTTCCATCTGGATTACAACGGCACATATTACATTCTAATTCAAATACTTCATCCGGTCGACAATCTTTGTGAATTATTCGAAGTTCCTGCTTTTAAATATTTAAAGTCTCATTACATGGAATAGGCTATACAAAAAGGAAAAAAGCGGCAAAATAGCAACATTTACTACAAATAAGTTTTTATGTATTAAGATGACAACTTAGCATATAAGAGTCGTTCTAAATCATTAAATTGTTAATTCTAAAAGCCATCACAGTTTGGAGTTTAATCAAGGGTTTTAGCAAATAACCTCGGGTTTTTCTTCCTCAGTGCTCGATTCGTCTGGTAGTTCGGGGACACAAACTTTTCTTGTACAAAAGTAGCCTGTCCCATCATCATTACACCAACATGTGTTGCAGTCTTTGATGAACATACGGTTGGCAACACATACCACTTCCTTGGTACTGTTTTTTGATGATTTCTTCACCTATTCAGCGTCAAAGTGTAAATATAAGAATTGTTTATTTTAAAGACCTTGTTTCTATTCAAATAAAAATACTTTTGTGTTTTCCATATATTTATTTTAAAGTAACTTTACATAACATTAATTGTGTGTTATATAAATTAAGCTTAATCTTATGTATATAATTTATATCATTTTATCTTCCTTACAGCCGGGGGATCGTACTGCGATTATTTGCCGTTTTATAAGGTATTATAGGTTTCATATCCTGTAAAAAAAATAACGAATTCTGAAAAACATAGGATTATTTGAAATTAAATTAAATTAGAATTAAATGAGAATAAAAAAAATGGTATTTTATCTTATTATGAATGAGTATAAACCTTCAGTTCATGAAACAACTCCACATCTTCGGGTAATGGGCAAGGTTTGTTGGTGCAGGAGTAATCTGTCCCATAATTGTTACAATTGCAGGTGTTACAACCGATGTAAAACGTGTCTTTTGGTCTGCATACTGAATGACGTTCGATATGATCAACACCCTGTAACAAAGTTTATCATCTTCAGGCAAGTTTGATGTTATTTAAAACAGTTGAATTGAACACTGCTGGGGCACAGGCCTTTTCTATGGATGGCATAGGGAGATTGGCCCATGATCCACAACGCGAGCCCAATGCAGATTGGCGGGTGCTAACGACTGCAGATGCAGCCGGAACCAACGGCTTAACGTGCCTTCCGAAGCACGGAGGAATTCGAGATAGAAGATTTTTGGTCACTCATCCAATGATCGACCAATACGAAAGATGCTTAAGTTCAACGATCGCAGCCGAACGCACTAACCACCTGCGCCATCGAGCTCCTCTTTAATAAGCAGTAGAATCACCATTTTTAATAAATGCGTTTCCATAAAACATTTTAGTACTAAGTGACTTTCCATAGAAAACAATAAGAGTTAGGATGCGAATTTTGCTCCCGTTTTGCAGTGCCCTTACCTTGAATAACTAACTTTCGCTATAGTTAAATCGCGGTTAAATGGGTGGTGTTGCGTTTCTGTAAGTAGGTTAGGCTACAGGTCTCCACGGGTGATGGTAAGCAATTTTAAGGTATCGCAGGCGTCTATAAGCTATAATGCGTCCTGTGGATGGTGCTACTGACGCTGCGATCAAACCGTATAGAAGCCTACATCGCGCAAGTGAAATTCGGATGCTAACACTCCATATATGCAATGCCCGATCAACATTAGTTGAGCCACGGCCCCCGAGCTACCATCATCCATTTATCACGTGTAATAAAACTATTGAATTTACATGGAGTCAGTTAATTTAAATAAATGATTGGCACTGCTTTTGAAATCATTAAGTACAATATCCTACTTCCTAGTAATATTATAAATGTGGAAGTTTGTGTGTTTGTATGATTGTTACTCAATCACGCAAAAACGAAACGTATTTATGTGAAATTGTACACACAGGCAGCTTATAGCCTGGAGAGAGCCATAGAATTTTTTTATCCCGGAAAAGTGTTCAGTCCCTGAGTGATTTTCAAAAAACAAATGTTAAGGCGTGCGCACTCGTGGGCGACCGCTAATCACACTAATATTATAAAGGCGAAAGTTTGTGAGTGTGTATGTTTGTTAATTCTTCACGTCTCAACGGCTGGAGCCATTTTAATAAAATTTGGTATGATGTTACCCTGGATTAACCCAGGCTACGTTTTAACATCCCTAATAAACTGCGGGAAACACCGCGGGCCACAACTAGTAATACATACAGCTCATCATAACGCCAGCTGCACACGTTGGTCCCAACGTTGGATTGTAAATTTAGTGAGGCGTACACACGTTGGCTATTCTACTAGATCTGTCCAATCAGGGCCAATGTGAAGATGCCGGATACGGAAATCGAGATTGCTCTATGCGCTTTAACAGTACTGTGTGTACATTTCTGAGAAGAAAAGCCACGTCAACGAAGATGGTAGGTATTATCTTATATATAAAATTCTCGTGTCACAACTTGGTAACTAACCAATCTCCTCCAAATCGGCTTTACCGATTTTTATGAAATTTCATATGCATGTTCAGTAGGTCTGAGAATCGGCTAAAATCAATTTTTCATGCCTCCAAGTGATAATGGTTGTCCAGCCCTATCATTTTTTTTATTCTTTTTTTATATTTTATTTTTTATTTTTTTTATAATGTGGCACTAAAAATACAAACAACCCTAAATTTTTATCCTTCTTTATCTATTTTTATGGCGGGATGTAATCCGCTGGGTCAGCTAGTAGGTCCCGGGAGCGTTCCAGTGAAGTGGCGCGCCCAGCCAGCGCGCGGTACGGTGCGTAAATGCATTTCCCACCGACAAAAAAAAAGGTTCAGCTAGTCTATATATATAAAAATGAAACCCGTTTTCCGTTGTCACGACATAACATGAAAACGGCTTGACCGATTTGACTGATTTTTTTTGTAGTTTTCTAATACTCTGTACAAGGTTCTTACGGAAAAAAATATAAAGAAAATCTCTCAGAAAGATTGAAAAATATAACGTAACGAATGTCAACGTCATTCAATTTAAAACAAAAAATCTGTGGTAATCTGTGACACCACATCGATAACCGCGCTGACAAATGTCAACGTCATTCAATTTAAAACAAAAAAATCTGTGGTAATCTGTGACAACACATCCATAACCGCGCTAACAATGAATAGGTACTCATACATAAGATAGGTCAGCTATACAAATAAAGTAGTGCATCAAAGCTACGCTAAGGCGGTACGAAGTTCGCCGGGTCAGCTAGTAGGTAATAAAATACAAACCTCATTCTCCATGAAGACTTCGACTTCTTTGTTCATATCCTTCTCGAGGCATTCGTTTTGCGTGCAAGTGTACCTTTGACCATCTGGGGAGCATTTGCACGTGTTGCAGTCAGATTGGAATTCCTGATTGGGCTTGCATACAGATCGTTTTACGACATTGTGGAGGAAACTAGCGGGAACTTTCTTGTGGACCTTTCCATTGCTCTTTTTAACCTTGAAATGGTGTATCTAGAAAAATCCAAACTTTTCACATTATGTTAAATTTGGTTTATAATACGGATAGTTAGATTCCCAAATTTTTTGACCGCGGCAACTTTTTTGGAATAATTGAAACAGCGGAACCCCTGTCGTGTCTTCTCTTCGTTTCAGATCGTATTTAATAAGTAAAAAAAATAACAAACCTATTACAAGGAATTTGATTACGGTTTACGGAACGTACTGGGTTAAACTATGGTTTAAAATAACCAGTTTCTTCGTAATGATAATGAATTGAATGGGGAATTAGATACTCACATATAAATTAGTAATTGCTTCCTTGGTCGTGTGATCAGCTTGTGTATCCCAATCACCATTTTTTAATATTCACTGTTAACAACTTTTTATTGACAACACGATGTTGTGAAGGTTAGAAAAAGTGCTTTTTTTCATAGTGCATTGTGCTTAAATGACGTGTTTTATTAATAGGTTCGGTAAAACAATTATATGTAATGTTGTGGTGCATTCGGATTATGTAACATGGTATATGACTTTTATATACCATTTCCACTTGATCGACATGGTATATAAATATGTTATATAACATATTTTGTTGTAAAGTCTGGAGTCAACTTTAGAATGTCAATTTAATTGTTATATTATTACCTAGCCATCAAAGTAATACAATAGGGGTGATGACGGGTAACAGTAAACGAAATTCTATTAAGTCCGTCAGTTACATGATCTAAAAATAATGGACACGTATTTTTTCTTTGGGCAATCAACCAAAAACTGACAAAGTTATAGCGCGTCAAAGTTTGGGAGTAGGGGCTCGTGACTTTGGAGTGAATTTTCACTTATAAGTGTACTCAAACGTGACGTCATACGATTTTTCAAATCAATGTATCTCTGCAATGTTTATATTATGTGAAAAAAGAAAAAATACGTGTCCAATACTTTTTGATAATCTACCTGATAAACGAAGAAAAAAAAATTAGTCATCATCCCTATTAATGTAAAACAGTAATGCTGTTCTCAGCATTTTATTAACATATATATTGTGTTAATAATACAACATGGCAAATAATATGAATAATTAAGGCTGTTAGAGTACAATGATTTTCGATGAAATATTAGAAGTATAATATCGGAAATCACTTACCATTGCGTTAAAATTTCTATCTTTGTCGGCTGTTTTTAATTGAGAAGAAATATCGATTTCAGTTCCTGAAATACACGAGAATCTTCATTTAGTTATTAGTATAAATGAAATAAGTAGTTAGAGTAGTTACGTTAATTTATTATTTTTTATTTTCATCGTTAATCTATTAATTTCCCCACTCCCCACTGTCCGGAAAAGAGAGAATGAGCCGTGACCCACCACGCGGTCAAAGTGCGGATGGCTGGGTGCTAACAACTGCAGAATCAGCCGGAACCAACTAACGCGCTCTCCGAAGTATGCATGAAACGGTTATAATAAATTAATGATCACCCATTCTATGACTGGCCATTGAGAAAGTTGCTCAACTTTCAAGATTGCAGACCGAACGCGCTTACTCCTGCGCCAACGAACTCATTTTTCTTTCATACCAACCCAATTCCCTCTATTCATATAAAAAAATGATAGGAAAATTAAAAGTGTACATTGAATTATAATATTTCTTTTGCCATAGATATAGTTTTTAGAATTTTTGTCTGTTTGTCTGTATGTATGTCCGGGATAAACTCAACAAGTACTGCATCGATTTACTTCAAATTTGGCACGAATATTATTAAAAAGTCGGGTCAACAAGGCTACATATTATCACACTATCACATACCGTACGGGGAACGAGCAGCAAGGGCGGATCCAGGGGGGGGGGTCATGGGGGTCATCACCCCCCCCCCCCCCCTGGGCTGGGTACAGGTGGACCAAACCCAGGGCGATTTTATTTAAGTCCTTTCAATATTTAATATACCACGACTATATGCCCCCCCCCCCCTGGCGCCAAAGCTGGCTATATGACCCCCCCCTGGCGCCAAAGCTGGATCCGCCCTTGACGAGCAGTGAACAGCGTTCAAAAAGTATGTGCAAATAACGAACTCCACGTGTAGGAAGTCGCTGGCAGCCGCTAGTACCTTATACATATAATTACAAAGCAAATTCTTGGAATTTTAAAGAGTCCATGAACGAAGAAGTCAAAACATTACATTGCGTGCGCTGTGTGACATCATGCTTTGTATAATGATGCTGTTTGAGACACACATATAGTTTATTACCACCCAGGTCTTAAAGTGAACCCTCCAGGAGCTGTGGCTGCTGTTCATAAGACTGACGATGTGGACGCAACCAAAAGTCATGACTGTTTTTTGTGCTTCCTGGAAGTTTGGTCCTACATAGAGGGCTCAGGTATGATGGGAATTAGGGAATACTTCACAAGGTGCAAGGTTCCTCTTATGTTAATCTGGCACGCTCGATTAAAACCAAACATCCTTACTTGAGCTCCCCTTCTATTAAGATACCTTTGTCCCGGAAAATCTATACTTATAATAAATCTGTAGAGAGGTCTATTCTGTACATGAAATCGAGCCCTTACCGCCAAATTATCGTAAGCGACATTCGCCAAATTATCGTAAGCGACACTTTTGTCGAAATGCGTTTTTTGTGGAAACTAATATTTTAAACCGTAACGGACCCATCTCTGTTGATATTTCCCTCCAAAAGAACACCGTAATAATATAATAGAGGGAAGAATAGAGGGAAATATCAACAGAGATGGGTCCGTTACGGTTTAAAATATTAGTTTCCACAAAAAACGCATTTCGACAAAAGTGTCGCTCACGATAATTTGGCGAGTGTCGCTTACGATAATTTGGCGGTAAGGGCTCGAAATATATTCTCAAAATAACTATCAGGGGGTGATTAGTGATTGATACTGATACCAAAAATGCAATCAGTAAATTTTTTGTCTGTCTGTCTGTCTGTCTGTGTGTATGTTCCTTATAGAAACAAAAACTACTCGACGGATTTTAACGAAACTTGGTACAATTATTCTTCATACTCCTGGGCAGGTTATAGTATACTTTTCATCACGCTACAATCAATAGGAGCAGAGTAGTGAAGGGAAATGTTGGGAAAACGGGAGAAGTTACTCCATTTTTTAAGCTTCCGTCGCGTGCGCAGCCTTAATGGTTAAAGTTACATAGCAATCATGTATGACGGAAATATTCTACATAAAATTGTCTAAAAAATATCCTGCAACAGCATATGTCTATCTTTTATGGTTTACTCACAATAATACGTGTAACTCCTGATAGCTTAGCAGCATTCTGATTATATTTGTTTACTCTTACGTTTATAATACTCTCACTCATCTCTAATTTAAAAAAGTTAACTTTATTACCTATTCAATAAAAAAAGAATCATAGAAAAAGAATTAAATAAATAAATTCAATGTGTTCAATACACGCCTGAGAACAAAAACTATAGTCTACACCGCAGCTCTACACCGAAGCGAAGCGAGGGCGGACCACTAGTTATTGAATACTATTGGATTCTCAGGAAAGCATGTATGACGTGGACGAAGTCGCAGGGGAAAGCTAGATTGATATATATATATATATATAATGAGTGATGTACTGACCATTCTTATAAAAACAAGCCATCTGGGTACACATGGAGTGGCCCGAAGAAAAGCACCAGCAAGTGTTGCAGCCATCAAACCATGTAGTGTCTGGTGCACAGCGCCTTTCAGGCTCTGGTGACAAAAAGTAAATGATTTTTTCCTTAGGTACCATAAAAGTTCTTATTTATGGGTATATATAGGAGGAGGATCATTTTGTGAGGCTAGTGCCGTATCTACCCTTTTTGTTTTAATCTAAGGATATAATGCAAATTGTGCCCCTCTAGCATGACCACCGCAACTGGATATGATACAGCGATATATCGGTATTACCTGACCGACTACAGTGGAGTTTGACAGTAGTCTGACAGTTTCCCATACATTGCTTTATCATATCCCGTTTTCGGAGGAGCTCGAAAGGCGCAAGTGGTTAGCGCGTTCGTCTGCGATCGTTTAACTTAAGCAACTTTCGCAGTGGTCGGTCATTGGATGGGTGACCAAAAATAACTATCTAGAGCTGCTCCGTGCTTCGGAAGGCACGTCAAGCCGTTGGTCCCGGCTGCATCTGCAGTCGTTAGCACCCACCAATTCGCACTGGGCCCGCGTGGTGGGTTCCCCCAATCTCCCTATTCTATCCATAGGGAAGGCTTGTGCCCCAGCACTTGGGACATTAATAGGCTGATGATGATGATGATAGGTATTATATTGCAAATTATTACTTTTGTGCGGTATGAAGGTCGCCCAGTCAGATAGAATATTATAAGTCAACTAGCAAACCAGTGAACCAAATGTTCACTAAAACCTGATTTAAAAAATGTATTTAATTAATTGAGAACTTCGGAGATTTTGTGTGGTTTCGTTTGAAATAATATATTTAAAAAAAATATACCTTTAAATAGTTAATTAAAATTGTGATAATTACAAAATAGAAATCACGTGATTTCTCGAAAACCGGAAGTGCTACGTTACTCAAATCCGGTTTGTAGTCTTATCAGACTATTCTTAACTTATAACTTAAACATTCTCTTTATCTATCTCTTACGGTTTGGCCGCTGTAACAGCACCACAGACGGACAGACGGACTTGTCTAATAGATAAGAGATTTGAATTAAGTATGTCACATATTTTATGTACCTTTAACTTTTTGTTCACACACGACGTGGTCGCATTGGCTATAGCCTATATCGGAGCACCGACATTCACTGCAACCGCTCTTCCAGGTTGTTCCAGGAGCACATTCTACTCCAATGGGCCTCTGATGCACCTCGGGTTTTGATGGCACTAAAAATAAAACCAATCAATAACCCTATAAACCGCGTTCAAAAAGAGATTTGGATGAGAAATTAAATGAAATGAAAGTAAAAAGAAATGAAAGTTTTTTTGCATGAAACATACATTTACAGTCATTTACGTTACAGTTGGTAAACAATTTATAGTTCCATATGTTTCGCCCTTGGAAGAGCATACACAATACTAATAAATTATTTACTTATTTAGTCTGTTTTAGTTCTGCTGTTAGACTACCATCGCACTGTAACTGAGCTGATTTTAACGAATTTGTTATGTTATAATTTTTATTGAAGTTATACTTCTTTAGGCGCGTTATGAAAAAATGATGAGAGTGAAATTTTAAGATGCGCGCGCATCACTGTAACACAAAATTTTAACAGCATGAAGTTGGTCGCTTTAGCGACCAACTTCATGCTGTTACTTTTGTGTTTACCGCACATTAAGAAAATCTACCAACAAAATAGAAATAGAATCTCTATTTAGTGGGTGCTAACGACTGCATTGTGAAGGCCTATCAAAAGTATTTATTAATCTGGAACAACGGAACCAAAGCGCGATTCAGGAGACTACAGCGCCATCTCTTGACCATTGGTGTAGTAGAACCAAAACCCACATCTTTATTTTTTGTAATAAAGTAACAGTTATAGGTATTTATATTTGTAATATCAAAAGTATTAGGCATGCGTCCGATATATCAAAACGAATCCAAAATCCGATTTCAAACACAAATCGATACCGAACGATTTCTCAACAAGAAAATCCGATTTCAGAAATCTAACCGAACCAAAACGCTAGCGATCTAATACCACAAGTATCCAAATGTAAATCGGATTCGAAATTCGTGCTTTCGTTTTCGGAAGTGAGATTTCGTGCTCGGAAGTCCGATTTCGATTTGCTGTTTACGGAAATCTATTGCTCTTCTCTGAGGCGGGATTATTTATCACTGTAAAGATATGTCGTCTAAAAACATCAAAAGTCGAGCAACCGACATTTTTGGACGCTAACCTGAAGTAATTAGGTTTGATTTTGTAAATGGTTTGAAAAATAATAAAAACAAACAGAAAAACAAAAAAAAATACTAAAAAAATATGTAAAAAGAAATCATTGTATAAAAGCCGATTTTTAAATGCGCCGCAAAAGTTTTACTCTTAACCGTAAACATAACTTTTCTGCTAGTCCTAAGCCTAGATTTAAAGCATGAAGGAAAATCACGAAAATCTACGAGTATCCTTGCTTCCTACAATTAATTGTTTGTGATTGTCGTTAGCTAATAAAACCAAATCATAACACAAACTAGTGAATTGGCTAAGTTCGGCACATCTGAAATCGGATATCTAAAAACGGATTTTAAAATCGATTTTGAAATCTGAAATCCTATAAATATCCGTTTGCGTTCAAAACCAAAAACGCCCATGTCTAAAAAGTATTTATTAATCTGGAACAACGAAACCAAAGCGCGATTCAGGAGACTACAGCGCCATCTCTTGAACATTGGTGTAGTAGAACCAAAAACCACATCTTTATTTTTTGTAATAAAGTAACAGTTATAGGTATTCAGATTTATAATATTTATCCACATGTGTCTAGTTTGTATATTCGGATTACGTGTTTGAGTTTCATACAAGTGCAAATCACATATGTTCTAATAAATTATATTCAGTAGCGATTTTAATTGAATATTTTGATTATTTATTTATTTTTTCAAATTAAAACTGAACTTTATTGACTGTGTCCTTTTCCAGACTTTTTATTAATTTATTGTAATTAATTATTTGCATGCAATTAAAAACTAATTTTAAACGATGCCAAAGAAGGATAACTTCTCACGCGCCTACATAAGTACACGCACCCATTTTTTTTTAAGCATGTAACTGCTTGATGTTTAAATGTTAAGAAAATATAACTAGAAAAATGTTAGGGGCTGTCATTTAATCACGTGAGGCTTGAAAGTCACACATAAAAAATCACGAAATATCACAACGGGGGAGGGGGGGTGTAGTAATAAATTACGTGTATTTCCGTGGTCCGAGGATACTGTACATTAAATAATGTTCATATATTAGTACAAAAAAGTATTCCGGTTTCTTTCATTATATTTATGTCAGTCAAAAAACAACCTGCAACCTTTCTGTCTACCTCTCTAAACGCTATTATTGTAGTCTTTAATTTTCCATAATAAAGTTAGATGATACTTAAACCTGTATTTTATAAATATAAAAAACAATAAGATTCTTTGTAGGTACTAAAAAATACACGTGACGAATGGTGAATGAAAGGGATAGGGGGAGGGGGGGTTAAAAAATGCCAAAAAAATATCCCGTGATTAATGGACGGCCCCTTACCAACGCGCATCCGAGCAAACCTCGGCACTACGCGTTGCGCACGCTTTTTCTTCCTATCTTTATAAGTATAATTTTAACTTGGCGCATTTTTGTGATCTTACGTAAGAACTATCGAGACTGCCCCCCCCCCCCCCCTTGTAAGAAAAAGTAAGACATTGTTAACCCACCCTAAATAGTCTTACGTAATAAATGAACGGTCCCTTTCCATAATTTCTGGTGGATTTCCCAAAATAATCTTTCATACAAACCTAGCCCTAAAAAATACAAGCATAGCAAAAAAAAACAGCCAAATCGTTATGAAAACGTAAGTGGCATTTATTTTTATATTATTACCTCTTTATATTAAAGACTAGTGGCCCGCCCTCACTTCGCTTCGGTGTTGACTATAGTTTTTTTCTAACATATAACCTATGACACTTACAAATAACGCGGCTTCCTATACCTAAAAGAATTTTTAAAATCGGTTCAGTAGAACCAGAGATTGTACCTCTTGAGATTGTACCTCACAAACTTTACCTCTTAAGGGACCGGCATTAATCGGCACAGCCGGACGTTAAAATCGAATATGTGTAAATGAATGTTCGGCAATATTTACTACAGGTCGCCGCAAATCGGGACACCTGGCAACGGTGCGCGGACAGTCGGCAACGGTTGCCGCGACCACACCCGCACTCCCGGCGTGCTGCGGGGGGACTGCGGTCCTCAGAATGTACGCCGGGTGACCGGTGCAGGAGTATTGTCTGGTTTTTAGTGGCCCTGTTCAGGGCGTTAGGTAGGGCCCTGCTCATTTCACCCGGCCTAAGAGTCCCACATACCTTCTTATCGCTCCCCCGGTGGTTGGAGGATGCGTAAAGCATTTCCCAGACAAAAAAAGAAAAAAAAGGGACACCTGGCAACACTATTCTGACGACGCATTCCTGCAAAGGCTGCGAAACGTCAATAAATAAATAAAATCAGTGCGTCTAACCCGTTAAAACTTGTTTTATTTACACTAATATTATTGAGGGTAGTTACACACATAATCAGGCCGGCATAGTCGGTTCGGTAGTATTTGTCGAAGAACAAAGCCGACCCGCAGCACGCCGGGAGTGCGGGTGTGGTCGCGGCAACCGTTGCCGACTGTCCGCGCACCGTTGCCAGGTGTCCCGATTTGCGCGGGACGTCCCGATTTTCAGGGATCTGGGGATCGTCCCGATTAGTACTTGATCGTGACGCTAAATGTCCCGAATAATAAAAAAATAAATTTAGGTAATATATGTAAAATTATACTTGCACTAGTAGTTTAAAATGCAATAAATTAAATCAAGACTTAAAATCCCCTTGTTTTTTGTTTGCTGTCCCAATTTGCAACCCTAAATCTCGATTGTTTTGACCTCATGTACCGATTTAAAACAAATCGGATCTGGCAACATTACGTCAGAATAATGATGTTTTATTTACTTTTATGAAACTTGTTTTATTTAATGAGTGATGTTCGTGAAAATCTAAGAAACAAATATTACTATAGATATTTATTTACTTATTTATTTATTATATATTACTATGCTAACCTTTGTGATCCTTACAAAATAGCGATGTGCAAAGTTTGCGGCCATTAGACAAGCACGTGCAGGTATTGCAGCCATCATTCCACGTAGTGTTTGGTGCACAGCTCATGTCAGTCTCTGATGGCAAAAAGATGATGGGACAAGGTCACAATCTGTTGCTTATACCAATCGTATAGTATTTTAATATTTCGCAGATATTTTTAGGTTATGTGAAAAAAGTGTTGACACTATTGTGATAAAAAATTGCAAAAGATTAAAATGCAAAGAAGGTATTTGAGTAAACTAGTGGATTTAAAGAATTCAAGAATTAAGGAGCTTATCATAGATTGCTGAATGAGATACGCACAGAAAGTCATTAAGTTTATGAAAACTTCTGTCGAATCAAGTATAAAAATTTCGAATAATTATTAAAATTAAATTGTGTAATTATTGAGTTGTGACCTTAGTTATGATTTTTTCTGCATATGTGTACCCTTATTATTTTTAATTTCTACTCTTTACTCTATTTTAAGAGGAGCTCGATGGCGCAAGTGGTTAGCGCGTTCGGCTGCGATCGTTGAATTTAAGCAACTTTCGCAGTGGTCGGTCATTGGATGGGTGACCAAAAATCTTCTATCTCGAGTTCCTCAGTGCTTCGGAAGGCACGTTAAGCCGTTGGTCCCGGCTGCATCTGCAGTCGTTAGCACCCGCCAATCCGCACTGGGCCCGCGTGTTGGGTCATGGCCCAATCTCCCTATTCTATCCATAGGCAAGGCCTGTGCCCCAGCAGTGGGGACATTAATAGGCTGATGATGATGACTCTATTTTAATAATCACTGGATAAACATTCCAAACCTCTAGTAACCCTTCTACAAAAAATATAAGGCTCTTCGTCGTCTCCTTGCTCCAAGTAAAACTTATTTTGTGTTCAAATGCGATGCGGTGTATTGAAAATATCCAACCTAAACAAAATCTTTTCAACTGCACTAGACACTAGGACACGTGTTCACACAGCGGCTGATTCGACACACAATCGTGTCACAATAAATTTTGCAATTAGAGACACCCGTGTTATACACTGAGTGTACGTGTGTAGTGTCCGAGTCTAAATTTACCATAGGTGTCTAGACATAAAACGGGCAGTTTCTACTACCGACGCTTTTTTTAAAGTGTGTATACTGTTGGCCGAGGATGACCTTTACAGCGTCACCGGGTTTGGGGACGGCGAGATCCTAAGGGGACCTCAAGCCGAGAATTGGCGAGTGTCTCTAGAGGTATTCCAGGCGGATGGCATCTCCCAACGGGGAGAGTCTCCTCTCCGTCTGGAGCCTCTAGACCACTCGAACCTGAGGGGGATTATTATTATTACAAAGTGTCTGATTATATTACAGACAAAAATGCTTGGGTTTGACCTGTTCCAATCATTCCAACAGGTTTTCTATATTAAATAAATCATGATTGTATTGATGTTGTAACAACATAATGATTTGTAAATGTTGTTACATAGAGTTTTTTCGCTGGTTTTTCTCCGCAGCTAAAAAATATGTCCAATAACGATTTATAGGGAAAAAAAGGTTTGGACGCTTCAAAAGTGTTGTACTATACATCCAATCTGAATAAAGATATATTGATTTCTGATTTGATTATCCGACGCGTGCGTCTGACATATTTATACAGGTACCTTTGGCTTTTTCGTGGCAATCGTGGTAGAAGCATTGTTTATAACCAATGTCGGAACACCAACAGTAACCGCAGCTGAACGGTTTCCACATTGTCCCAGGAGCACATTCTACGCCGAAGGGCACCACAGGTATTTTTGAAACTGAAACTTGTAAAAGAAACCAAATATTACCTTATTGACCGAGTATTGAAAGAGGAGATTTATGTATTTAAAAAAAACGATAACAACTACACACATAAAATAAATGGTGTTAGGAACCTAAATATGATTTTTGATTATCTAGACAGTGATACCCCACTCGACATATTTTGTCAACTTATTTTTTTTTAACTCGTCGCAATATGGCGCCTAATTTTGCCCATATTGAATTTTGATTACTATCATATCTTTAGTAGCACTCCCATGATTGAGACGAATCGATTGATGTATGAATCATCAAAATCGGTCCAGGCGTTTGGTCTCTAGTGTGCCACAAAAGAACAAACATACTTAAATAGACTGTTAAACACATAACCCTGTCTGCGCGTCGCGCTTCGCGCTCTTGCATTGCGCAGCCGGGTAACAAGGCTAAGCAACTTGTATATACGACCTCCGTGGCCGAGTGATTTGTACGCCGGGTTTCATGGTGTCGCCGACTCGATAGGTCCTGGGTTCAAATCCCGGTGGGGGCAGATGTTTGTGTGATGAATACGAGCATTTGTACTCAAGTCTTGGATGTTTAATATGTACTTTGTATATGAATAGGTATACTTATATATGTACACTATATGTATTCTATCAGTTAACCTAGTATCCCATAACACAAGCCTTACAGTGCTTACTTTGGGGCTAGGCTAATTGGTGTGAGTGTAGGAAATATTTATTTATTATTATTATTTATTTATATATTTTTTTTATAAAATGTGTAATAATATAATCAAACTTTTTCTTTCTTTAGCCACTAACAAATCAAATTGGTTATAATCAACAATAGAATATAAGTATTAAAAATATTAAAAATCGGTCAAAAATTCAAAAAAGTCTTTTAATGAGTATTTTAAAACCGAATTTTCGATTCGGCCGGTATATTTTGAGGTTTCGTTTTCAAATGAGATCAGGAACGAGCTCTTTCGCTGTCCGTCAGTCCGTCCATCAGCGGACTGTATGTCATGAACCGTACGTAATATGTGGTCAGTTGAAATTTTCACAAAATGAGTATTTCTGTTAATAGTAATAACAACAAATTTTATTTACTAACAGTAATAAAATCTTACTAGCAAACCAGTGAACCCAATGTTCACCAAAACCTGATTTCAAAAAAACAAAAAAAAAATTAATTGAGAACATCGGAGATTTTGTGTGGTTTCGTTTGAAATTCGTGAATTCTCGAAAACCGGAAGTGCTACGTTACTCAAATCCGGTTTGTAGTCTTATCAGACTATTCTTAACATATAACAACTAGTCCCAAATTTATTATGAATTGTATGTAAATTCGAGGAGCTAGATGGCGCAAGTGGTTTCCGCTGAGATTGTTGAAATGAAGCAACTTTCGCCGTGGTCGGTCATTGGATGGGCGACAATAAATTCACTATCTCGAGCTCTTCCGTGCTTCAGAAGGCACGTTAAACCGTTGGTCCCTGCTGCATCTACAGTCGTCAGCAAACACCAATCCGCACTGGGCCAGCATGGTGGCCAATCGTCCTATTGTATTCAGAAGGAAGGCCTATGCTCCAGCAGTGAGGATATCAATAGGCTAATGAAATGAAATGAAACCTTTTATTGGCCATCTTAACAAAAGAAGAACTTATCAATACAACAATAAAAAATAAAACAAAAAATGAAATACAAGAAAACTTAACCTAAGAAAACAAAAAATAAAAATAACATAAAAAACCTAAGATAGCCAATCAGGACCCTGCCTCAGCTTATGCTGACACAATAAGAAAGTACTTTCTCACTATGTCAGCGCTGGTATTCTGGCAGGACCTGGGCGAGGTCGTTAAAACCACAGAACACAGAAAGATGTTAGAAGGGCCTTGTGGGCGGGGCAGACGCGCCACAGTTAGTTGTGAGCAAATGCTCATAACTTGACCAAAACTTGGCAACGATTGCTTTGTTGCGATGGGGTGTGAGCGCCGATTGGTTCGATTGTTTGATGTCACGGCGTTTGATTGGCTAATATTTATTAGGTGTAAGTGTAGTGCGGGCGAGCCGGCGACATCGGTTCCCGTACAAAAGGTCTCTGAAGACCCTTCTAACCTCTTTCTGTGTTCTGTGGTTAAAACTACTTAAAACAACCATGATGATGATGATTATGATGTAAGTAATTTACCATCACTGCCAGATCTCCGGCAGAACTCGATTGTGCAGAGCGCCAGGCCGTTCTCGAGACAGACGCAGGTGTTGCAGTCCCGAACGAAAGTCGTATTAGGCTTGCATTGTAGGGGTTCCTCTGGAAAACACATGGTTGACGCACGTCAGAATTTAGCACGAATTGTGACAGCTACGTAATCGTATTGCATCGCCAAAGATTCTCTGAAAACTAAGCGAGGCACTGCTTAGTTTTCAAATAAACTTTACCGGACGAATGAACAAGCTGGCTTCATCCATACAAAATTTGACAATAACGAAACGATTACAAAGCTATCAAATTTCGTACTTGGGCCTCTGGACAAATACACGTAAAACTATTCTTTAGTATTGTCCAAGAACATATAAACTATTCTTGAATTAAAACACTTCAACGCTGGAGCAGCGCTGAGATAATTTTTTGTGAAATATGTTGGTTGAGGATCTCGATGGCGCAAGTGGTTAGCGCGTTCGGCTGCGATCGTTGAAGTTAAGCTACTATCGCAGTGGTCGGTCATTGGATGGGTGACCAAAAATTTACTATGTCGAGCTCCTCCGTGCTTCAGAAGGCACGTTAAGCCATTGGTCCCGGCTGCATCTGCAGTCGTTAGCACCCACCAATCCGAACTGGGCCCGCGTGGTGGGTCATGACCCAATCTCCCTATTCTATCCATGGAAGGCCTGTGCCCCAGCAGTGGGGACATTAATAGGCTGATGATGATGATGATGATGTTGGTCACTTTTAGAAGGAGGGATGACCGACAACTCGCGTTACCGTCATGCGCAAATACATAATTTCAGATTTTTCAACGTATATAAAACAGCCAGGGCGATTTGCAATAACAAGCGATCAAACGGACGAAGTTCTTTTTTGACGATTGACGACGGATGCGATGGCGGATGTTAGGTGAAAAAAGGGTGTTTCCGTTAGTGGGCGATCACTGACTGCAGTGGATGGTTTAAAGTTTTGTTTAACAGTTTGATAGAATAGGGGAATTGGGCCATCTACCATGGGAGCCCAGTGTGGATTGATGGGTGGGATATTTAGTTTAAGATAAAATAGGGAGATTGGTCGATGACTCTCTACGCGGTGGATTAGTGGGTAAAGTACATTTTTAATGGAGTAGAAGGATTGGGCCATGATATCTCTTCTTGGGTACGGATTTCCGTACTGAAGTTGGGGGATACACAATTAATTTGTTAATAGTAACGTTCAATTTACTTACCGAAGACACCGTCATCGCACGTTTCCTCTCTGAGACACTCGGCGATACCGGAATCGGAGCAGCGGCAGTAGTGGCAGTTGCTGAACCACTCGCTGCCAGCGAGGCATTCCACCTGGTTAGCTGCAGACTCTTGGGACGTGGGCTGCTGACTTGCTGACTCTTGAGCTGTGAGCTGCTGACTTGCTGACTCTTGAGCTATGGGCTGCGGAGCTGACGACTCTTGGACTGTGAGCTGCGGGGCGGCTAAACTTTGGGCTGCAAGCTGCTGGCTTACTGACTCTTTGCCTGCAGGCTCTTGATTCACAGGATTCACCTCCGACTGTGGCGGCACTGAAATATGACGAAAACCTTATAGTTTAGAAGAAAACCTTCTTCCAGGATTTTATTTAAATTTAGCGCAAGGAAAACTTCAATTCGCTCATTGGGCATTGGACTTTGCTTTAGTTTGTTTATGAAAATATAAACTATACTTTAATTAAAACAGTTGGACGCTGCAGCAGCGCTGAGATAAAATTTTGTGAAAGCATGTTTGTCATTTTTTGGACAGAAAGGACCAACAACTCGCTTGACCGTCACGCGCACATACATAATTTTAGATGATCGAAGTTCTTTCTTGTACGGTATGGCGGATGTGGTTTAGATGAAAAAAAAAGATGTTTCCATTGCAACCTAGCGAGGCAGGAGCGGGTATTTAGGTGGGCGATCACTGACGGCAGTAGATGGTTTAAAGCTTTGTTTAACAGTTTGACGGAACAGGGGAATTGGGCCATCTACGACGGGGGTCCAGTTGATGGGTTCCTATTTTGCTATAAATAGAATAAGGAGACTGGACCACGACCCTCCACGCGGCCCTAATGTGGATTGGTAAGTAAAATACATTTTTAATGGAGTAGAAGGGTTAAGCCATGACATCTCTTTTTGGGTACGGGTTTCCGTACTAAAGTTGGGGATACACAATTAATTTGTTAATATTGGTGTCGATTCTGGCATGATTCTCTAAACCTAAACTTAAATTTGTCAACAGTGTATCCTTGTCAATCTCTATACAGAATGAAAAGGAGAGACTGATGTTAAATTTAGTTTTAAGTTTAGAGAATCATGCCAGAATTGACACCAATGACGTTCAATTTACTTACCGAAGACTCCGTCGTCGCACGTTTCCTCTCTGAGACACTCGGCGATGCCGGAATCGGAGCAGCGGCAGTAGTGACAGTTGCTGAACCACTCGCTGCCAGCGAGGCATTCCACCTGGTTAGCTGCAGACTCTTGGGACGTGGGCTGCTGACTTGCTGTCTCTTGAGCTAAGGGCGGCGGTGCTGATGACTCTTGGACTGTGAGCTGCGGGGCAGCTAAATCTTGGGCTGCAAGCTGCTGGCGTACAGGCTCTTTGCCTGCAGGCTCCTGATTTACAGGACTCACCACAGGCGGTGGCGGCACTGAAATATGACCAGAAACTAATAGTTTAGGGGAATGCTGAAGTGTAAGTGTCGCCGCACACGGGCCACACGCCACAGCCACAAACGCCGCCACGAAAAGCTAGAAGCGGCTACTAAAGTGACGTGTGGCGGCGTTTTGTATCAACGCATTAAGTGGCCGGCACGGGCCACAATAAACGAGCAACGACGATTTGTAGCGTGTGGCGGCCACCGACGTACCGTGTGTGGCAAGTCCATATAAAATGTATGAAAACTACAAGAAATATGGCGGTGGCGGCGTTTTGTGGTTGTGGTCGGTGACCCGTGAGCGGCGACACTAAATGTGTGTTCAGAATTATTTAAATTTAGCGCAAACAAAACATCAATTCATTCATTAAGCATATGCAAGACTGTTTAGTTGTGATTGGCGTCTCGCATGTGACCTTGTCATTTTTTGAAAGATGGTTCTACTCTCCCACCTGGGTCCCAGTTTTCCCCGAACAGAGGTTGAAAATAGCTGATTTTATCTTCTTGAATTGAGACATCCGTCTAGGGAACTAACCTCTATTTTACAGAACACTACAGTGAAATGCGTTGTGTTTCTGTTGATGATTGAGGTTCTAGGAATCCACCTAGTAAGGAATGGAGTCAGAGTGGGCAACGAGCAAATGATATAACTATTAACAACTTAAGTAGTTGTTATGAGTTACGAGGAATATAAAAAAATATTTTGTTTAGAATACTTATGCTGTTATAGCCGCTTAAAATACTGGACATTGTAATTCTACGGCAGTCGATGGGAGACCTTATTCCGAGAATTATCAACCAAAAATTCTGCAAGGGTTCGTCTTTAGAACGATAGTTAGAGGTTGGTTGTCTTTCGCCACATCGTGTTTTATTTATGATTATCATCTAAGCCTATTAATGTCCCCACTGTTTGGATACAAGTCTTCCCTATTGATGGATTAGGGAGACTGGGCCGTGACCTACCCACCACGCGTACCCAGTGTGGGTTGGTGAGTACTAACAACTGCAGATGCAGCTGGTACCAACGGCTTCACGTGCCTTCCGAAGCACGGAGGAGCTTGGTAAAGTAAATTTTTGGTCATCATCTTGGTTGGTCATTACTTCAATGAGCATCAAGTTCTTCCCCTGTTGATCCCTGTTCATTATTATCATTAGCCTATTAATGCCCCTACTGATAAGGCATAGTCATTCACTATGCGTAGAAAAGGAAGAATGGGTCATTGTGCCATGCCATGACCCACTACGCCCGCCTAGTGTGGAAAAATGGATGATAATGAATGGAAATGCAACCGAGCCTAATGGCTCAATGGCTTAACGTTCCTTCCGAAGCACGAAGGAATTTGATATAATAAATTTTTGGTCGCCTAATTGACTGATCGTTACGAAAGTAACATAACTTCGTAGACAGTGAACGTATTACACCTCCATACAAAATATTGATTTTATTTTTTTACAAAATATCGTAAATTCTCAAATAACAATGATAGAATTATTAACCGTTTTAAGTACGTACATCCTAAAAGCAGATTTATTAAAATCGTTTTATGACAATTAGGGAAGATGCAATATTTTTATTTTTGTTTTCATGTTAAAGAATTTCATGTAGAATAAACCACAGATATATTAAAAAATTAAAACATTGTAATTTGTCGAAGAAAAAAGCGGTTTTAAATTGACAGTTTAAATTTTCGCGCGAAAACGGACCTATGGTTCCGATGACGTCACTCCTGTCTGTCACTGGTCGTACTTGGTCGTCGCTGGATTTCAATTTTCATACTTTTGCATATTTTTTCGAAATTCGAGATATTTTTTTGTAAAAGTTTAAAATGGACTATCCATCAACATCAGGTGATCATAACAATACCACTAATATTCAGAAATAAGCCGTGTTGACTCATGTTTTGTGACAATGTGTCCATCTACTTCAACAATGTATCCAAATAAATTGTTTTTGACTTTTGATTGAATTAATTTAATTGACCCAAAATTGAGAAAAAAGTGGTTTCAAGCTGCGAAGAGAAATGACAATTATTCTCCAAAGACCATTATTCGATGCTGTGAAGATCACTATGACGTAAGTCAGCGAATATATTTGTTATATGCTTAATTAATCTGCTTGTACGTAAAAACGCGTTAGTAACCTACCTAATACTTACAAAACCTGTCTATAACATATTTTTAATTTTACAGTTGGAGAACGACGTCAAAAATTGGATAAAGTTTAAAATGCGTAGTACAATCTTTACATTGGCAGGACTGAACCAAGCTTTGCGTTTCATTTAAAATAACTGTAACACGATAACTTTACGTACTTTATGCCCCGGAGTAACTCGACTTTTTACTGTACATAATTCTCCATCTCTTTTAATTTGGACATAGCCGATTGCGTTTACGCCGTAAGATTCTCTTGTTGAGCTGAAATAACTGCTATGTGTAGAAGTCGCTGAATAAAATACAAAGTTTAATAACTATGATTTATACCTACCGTGGTAATTTAGTCCCTTTCATTTCTACACTTGAAAACTCTGCACATAGGACCAAAAAGTTACAACCATGTCAACACTAACTCTTGGTAATTTCCTGGAGTCTGCTTTGATAAACCCAACTTCCATTTTTATTAAAAAACACATTAAAAAAATGGGTGCGTGTACTTATGTAGGCGCGTGAGAAGTTATCCTTCTTTGGCATCGTTTAAAATTAGTTTTTAATTGCATGCAAATAATTAATTACAATAAATTAATAAAAAGTCTGGAAAAGGACACAGTCAATAAAGTTCAGTTTTAATTTGAAAAAATAAATAAATAATCAAAATATTCAATTAAAATCGCTACTGAATATAATTTATTAGAACATATGTGATTTGCACTTGTATGAAACTCAAACATGTATTCCGAATATACAAACTAGAAACATGTGGATAAATATTATAAATATGAATACCTATAACTGTTACTTTATTACAAAAAATAAAGATGTGGTTTTTGGTTCTACTACACCAATGGTCAAGAGATGGCGCTGTAGTCTCCTGAATCGCGCTTTGGTTCCGTTGTTCCAGATTAATAAATACTTTTGATAAGCCTTCACAATGCAGTCGTTAGCACCCACTAAATAGAGATTCTATTTCTATTATGTTGGTAGATTATCTTAATGTGCGGTAAACACAAAAGTAACAGCATGAAGTTGGTCGCTAAAGCGAGCAACTTCATGCTGTTAATTTTTGTGTTACAATGATGCGCGCGCATCTTAAAATTTCACTCTCATCATTTTTTCATAACGCGCCTCAAGAAATATAACTTCAAAAATAATTTTTATTATTTTAAAGCATGTAACTGCTTGATGTTTAAATCTAAAGAAAATATAACTAGAAAAAATCCACGCGGACCAGGCAGCATTCACCCGGATTGCGAAGGGTGCGAGTTCGAGTCCCGTCTGCTGCAATTAATATTCCCATAAAATAATATTCACTTTTATAACCATAATCTCAAATAAGTTGTCATAACAGGAAAGACGCCACTAAACGCTGATTGGTGTTATAAAATACGTTTTTGTAGAGTCATTTTTAATTCCTAATTATTGTTAAAAAACAACATTATGTAAAATAAAAAAGTTGCAGTAATATTAATATTATTAATATTATTCTTTTATATTTTTTTAACATTTTAATCACAAAATTTTCATAAATATTATATTTGCATCTTCCCTATTGGAGACTTTTAAAAAAAATGATAAAAAGAAATTGCGGAAATTTAGGTAACCTTAATCGTTGTCTGAATTAGATGTAAAGTTTCACAGCTAACTCATAATTTACAATGTATTTAATCTCAAAAATAATTTGATTTTATTTTTGATTTAGTTAAATAAAAATCTACCTTCTTTTTCACTTTCGACAGAACACGACGCATCCTTGCCTGGTGTGCATCTTATAGCTGAAAAGAAAGAAAAAAAATTATATGGACTATGCCTCCTTTAACTTTCTCGATAACAAAATAGACATTACCACCCTTAACACGAACCAATGTCGAATTCAAATAGTTTGCGAGTCCGGAATGTCATTGTCAGTACTGAATTTTAGTTCTCGTTACGTACTTTGTGGCGCTGCTGTTCAAGTTTCCATACAAAATTTGACAATGACATTTCGGACTCGCAAACTATTCGAATTCGATTATGGTTCGTGCTAGGGGTACAGTACCCTTAGCACAAATAAATATCGAATTCGTATCGTTTGCACGTTCGAAATGTCATTGTCAAATGTGTACACAGATTTTTAGTTCTCGTTACGTACTTTGTGGCGATGCGGTTCAAGTTTCCATACAAAATTTGACATTGACATATCGCACTCGCAAACTATTCGAATTTGATATTGGTTCATGCTGAGAGTAAAGAAGATAATTTCATTTAGGTATATGTACTACACTTTGCACATGTACGCTCTCGGCGGTCGTGCTAGGACTGTCAACATTGGCTTATATACACAAAAAACTATTTTATTCTCAATATTTCAATATTTCCTACTCGACAATTAATATACAATAATTGTCGAGAATGAAATAGAAAGAACGGAAATATAAACCAATAATAACTAAAACATTTCAATCTTAATGTTGTTGTTATATTACAAATTTAAAAAATGACAATTCTCCGCTTAATGTTGAATTCAAACAACCGTCTACTGAATAGATATATACTTGTCTTTTGTTCCACAATTACTGTACAAAAAAGTTTGCAGGCGCGAGTCTCAAAGCGGCAGAAACTCGTGCTCACAGTGGTCCGAACTGGAGGCCTACTCTAATTCATCGAAAAACAAAATGTTGATTGAAACTTCGCACTTTCTTTCTATAAAACTCTGTTTCTGGTTCGTTTTTAATAGGGTATTTGACAGTATTAAAAATAAAGTGCCAATTGTTAGTATCTGTATTTAGAATGAATATTGGAAGGAGTTTTTACTATTTTTAAGGAAAAAATATTCATAATTTTACTAAAAACCCACGATAAAGATAATATGTAGTTTTCTTGTCTTTTGTCACGTGACCCAAAACTTTTGGGATTGGTGGAGCCTAAATGACACGCAAGTAAACTTCCGGTTAAAGTGACATTAGATCGTATGGTTTGACGTTTTAATGACAGTCGTGTGACGTCACACACCAGTGAGACGCCATATTGTCCAGAGATATGTTTTGTCTATTTTATGATCGCACTCAGGGTAATCAATTTATTGTCAAGTTAAATTCACGCTGATGCTGTAACTGCTGCACGATACAATACCTTAGGGCGCTTATTAACGACCGGCTTTCTGCCGGCACGGTTTTTACCAGGGCTTGTGCCGGCTAAGTTTGTTCATAAGCGCGGTTTATAGGTTTGTTATAAATCCAAAATCCCCAAATCGTAACTTGCGCCGGTGTCAGTAACAAACCTTCATAGTGTCCCATGCCTAACCGAAGACCGGACGTAGATATGGTTTAAAACCGTGCCTAGACCCGGGTAGAAATCGTCTCGTTAACAAGTGCCCTTAGGGTTGGGGTTTGGGGTTTAGGGCAGACATTTCGCAGACATCGATATGACAGAATGTTGTTATATCAGAATATGTACACTTGTAAACATATTCATATGTGTGTAAGTTTGCACAAAAGTATCATTAATAAACAAAGGTAAGAAAGTATTAATTAAAAATCAATTTATCGTTGACGTTTAACTTCTTGCGCCTTGTATAAAAAAACATGGCTTCTATCTTGTAATGGCATTAATTCAGTATTACATACATGTGGATTAAATGACTTAACTACTTACTAAAATAGTAGTATGTTACTATGAGAGGTTTATGCATTAACGGTTTTAAAACTATATAGTTTCAGAAAATCCATTTTATTTAAAGCAATAACTGTGAGCAATTTTCTTTTTATTATTGATGTATCATTAACAAATATTATGTCAATTACAAGACTTTATTATTTAAACTTTTTGAAGTACTTGTTTCTAAAAATACTCAATTTTGGAGCTCGTATACGTCCGGTTATATCCTTAACTTACAAAAACTATTGCTTGTGGTGTACCACAAGGGTCTATTTTATGTCCATTATTGTTTCTATTATATAATTACTTTGTTATTATTTAAGATTGTATTTTCTCTGTAAGTGGATGTTTTGTAAATTCTTCCCTAAAAAATAAATTTCTTTAACCGTAACCGCTAGTTTTTCAGGCGACGTACCTAAATCTACAAAGCGCGATCGAAACGCGCGTCATCACCGCGCCCCCCTTATCGAGTCCGCGAATCGATTCGATCGTTACATCGAAATTTCGACATTCGCAGCCCATTTTCTCGTTCTCACTCGGCTATTGAGTCTGAGACAATTGTTACCGCTAATAATAGAACTGCAATTATTGTGGGGCTAAAGGGCAAATTGCGGATCGTCGGGCGCTCGGACGTCATGTGACTTTCGGGCACCCAACTTCTGATGTGACGATGTTCTGATTGGCTTCATTAAAAACAAATAAATAAAGAAGTATATAATATCATTAGCTTTATAAGCTTTTCCGTATGTAAGTTAGAATAAATGAAAAAAAAACTAATCCAAATTTTAATTAATTTTGGATAACAGTATTTCAAAGATTATTATTTCTAGTAAAACATTTATTTTTATATAAAACAATGAAACAAAAAATATCTCATAAATATTATTCGATGAATTATTAATTATTACTTATACATTTTTTTTCGTGTAATTAATAATTTAATTTCACACTTTTGAGGACTCGCAGCTTTACCACAGGCTTTACACAAAGTTTGAACGTAGTATTTTATTTTTGTATGGACTACCTATGTATATTAAGAGCCCTTTAACAAAATTGCGCCGCTGCCGTACTGATCGGCGCGTAGTGTAGCGTAGATTTGCACTGGTATATGTGTATATTGCATTTTACGGGTGATAATTCTAGTCCTGTAAAATAATTATTAATGAACTAATTATAAAAGTATATACATATTTCAGTAGTTCAATGTTGGTAGATTAGTTTTATGAAAATTTTTGATACTAATTCTATTTAATTGAATATCAAAATACGGGGTAAACCTGCATTATTTTTCGTTTTTTTTTGATAATAAATCAAAATTCTAATACATTATTTTACAACAAAAACATAGTTTTGATGTCTAAGTAATAAGTTTGATCTAATTTATTGAACATTATTGAGAGATTGAGACGTTTGAAGTTGTGCATATTATCGTTTTTTCCGTAAACTAGCTGCATGAAAGAGAATTATTTTTATTTTTTTTATTTTTATTTAATTAGGATAACAAACAACTGTGCAATATTTTACGTAATGTAGTAACACTAATAAATACATTGATGTCATTACACAACCAACACCGTTATCCTCTAAAAATATATCACAACACAGAGATTATATTTTTATAAAACATTATAAGTTTGCAATATCTATTCTACTTGCAAATCGATGGTATAACTAAAGCAAAAAAAAAAATATTTGTACAAAAAACTGAAAATAGTATTTGTAAATATTCTACATTAACTTACAATAGAAAGAATAAATCTACTGTTTAATTCCATCGAAAATAGTCAAAATCTTTTCTAAGGAGTAAACGAGGCGCTCAAAAATTACGATTTTTTGCAAAAAATGTGAAAACGCTCTTAACGATATTATACCTTTTTCAATCCTCGACCAGATCACAACTTAGTATGGTGTCGTTATTTGGAATCCTTCACATCACTATATAGTTTGTGGAATCTTTTCTACAATAAACAAATTGAGTCTGTTTAACGGAAATTCTTGAGATGTGTAAAATTTAAGTGTTGCCTCTACAAAACTTCATATTGTAAATACCCTTTTAACTACTAAAATTTTCGCTTGACACGCTGGAAATGTCAAGATCACTCCTGAACCTTTTTTGACATTTACAGTGTGTAACTAAATATGAAATTGCATATCCATCGATGCTTTTCAGAACAAGTATCTTAGTGGCATTATAATAAAGCAGTAGGGGATCATACTAAATAGCTCGGTGATCATCACTTGGATATGTCAAAAGCAGTCAGCGAATAGGCCTACAGAGCTCTATGTCTTTCCATAATTTATGTAAGAATAAGTTGAATTGCATCGATTGATAAAAAAAAAAAAAAAATTAAAAATAGTTTTAACGGGTTAATGCACGAACTTTATTTGTTTATTTACGTTTCGCAGCCTTTTCAGGTCTGCATCGTCAGAATAATGATTTTTTATTTACTTTGTCGAGCTACCTTACGCAAGGTAGCTCGACAAAGATCGAGTCGAAGTCAATAAATAAATAAAGTTCGTGCATTAACCCGTTAAGACTAGTTTTATTTAATGAGTGATGTGCGTGAAAACCTAAGAAACAAATAAAAAAATAAATTATCAGATACCCAGTAGATTGAAACGAATTCAACAAAACTACTATCATTTTATTTATTTTTTAAGCATTTTAACTGCTAGATGTTTAAATCTAAAGAAAAGTTTACTAGAAAAAAAAATCTCCTTTCAAATGTTTAATACTTGAAAAAGTATTCATTTGACATTGTGGGTTACCTACAATGCGAAAAGATGGCGCTGCCTTGCAGCTTAAGGCTAGAAAAATTTCGACGCGGCTAATAGGGCCGTGGAAGCATAATGGTCAGTGCATTCGCCCGGATAGCGAAGGATGCGGGTTCGAGTCCCGTCCGCTGCCTGGTCCGCGTGGATTTTTTTCTAGTAAACTTTTCTTTAGATTAAAACTACTATTATCGATTTGTTCTCGCTCCGCCGATATAAGACTAATGCCCGTGTTCTTTTGTATAGATAGAGTGATGAAAAAAGAAACAACGAAAATTTATACTATATTGATATGTTTCAATTGTCACCATCCTTACAAAAAATGTCACTTAGGTTTCCTCTCGAGGTTCTGAAGTATCTATATGAA